ATAATATGTGCCAGGGAGTGCAGATAGTGTGTGCCAGGGAGTGCAGATAATATGTGCTAGTGAGTGCAGATAATATGTGCCAGGGAGTGTAGATAATGTGTGCTAGTGAGTGCAGATAATGTGTGCCAGGGAGTGTAGATAATATGTGCCAGGGAGTGCAGATAATGTGTGCCAGGGAGTGCAGATAATGTGTGCCAGGGAGTGAATATATTTAAGGAGATTGTTTGTGTTCAGGAGAGTGCATGTTCTCTGACAGGGAAAGTGGATATCAAGCACAAATATAGACAGTGAATAAATCAAACTTACACTTCCTACCGCAAAGACGAACACCGACTAACAAATCATGACAGAATTCATTTGATAGCGTTAATTAGGAATTATTTTATCATACTGAATTGTTATTTATCTTGTTTAGAATCTTATCGCATAGTTTCATATTCTATGACAAAAACAAAAATACAATATCATTATTATTTGCCAATGTGTGTAATGCTGTAGATAGATAGATAGATAGCATTACACACATTAATATTTATATAAAATTATAAATAGAGAAAGAGAGAGAGTGTGTGTGTGTGTGTGTATATATATATTCACACACACACACACACACATATATATATAATGGACTACTCACTAGAATGCTAAACTTACGCTGTCACGGTTCGATCTCAACATGGTGCTTTCCTCGGTGCTAATTTATAAAGAAATAAACAAGTATGAATAATTATCGATGGTCAGTTACGACCAAAAAAAACTGCCAAAATATAAAAAAAAACAAGAGATAAGCGAAATCAGATTTACACTTGACCATGGCTATGTCCAAAATGACCTTGACATCATACCGTTTTTCCTTACTGAAGACACAAGTTTGATGTTCAGCAAAGTTCCTGTTAGCCCGACATGTCAGCTTTCTGTTTATAGATAAACAATGTATCATTTGAAGTCTAGACAGCCAGTCTAATGACCATCCATAAAGGCATGGAGGAAGTCACTCAACGTATGCCCCTTTTCTTTCCTTTGTGTAGAGCCTTTTTAAAGCCGTCTTAACTGCAGCTTGCTCTTTCCTTATAAGCCATTTTGTCCCCATAATAAGTCAGTGTGTCACATGTCAATGTAAAACTGCACAGTCCAGGACAGAAGGTCCCAGGCACGTCAAAGACAAATGCTTATTAACAGCTTTCCTCTCTGAGAATCCACCAAAGGTAAGTTACAGTCTCCTAACACCAGCGAGATGGATTCGTGCATATTGTTATAAATTGTGCGATAGATGTGAGAAAAACATTAATTTCGTTAGTGTATGTCTACATCTTAAATAGCGTTTGGACATCCTGAATATCTGTGTGAACAAAAAACAAAGAGAAAATATATTTGTACAGAGAAGCAGAATTCAGCTGAATGCAATGTTGTGTGTTTTGTTTTTAGTCATTCCATTGTTATTGTTTGTTATGTTATTATTTGTGTTTAGATATTCAAACAGATATCCTACACTGCATTGCAACGTGTACTCTGAATGATTGACAGCTCTGCTGTTAAATGAGGATGGATATGAAATATGTGCTTGCATGTGGAACCTTCTAATCTATGGGATAATTTAATGGAGAGACTCTATCCTCTGCTGGTAGCAAAGAGGAAAATACTCACAAGAGCTGATCTGGCTGTTATCTGAGAGACAGAGAGAGGGAGGGGGAAGCAAACAAGGCTGTTTTGTGACTGCCCTGTGCATACATATTCTAGCTTTTCTGCCTGTGTTTGCAATAATATTTCATGTTTCCCTTTGGATTGGTTAAATTCTAACAGTCAGCATTTCCATCACATGCTGTTTTAATTGTCAAATCGAAGGCGTACTTTTATTTATTTATATAGATTATTATTTCACTTTTTTTTGTACATTTTTGGGGTAATAAAGAACAAAAGTAGATATGTCTTTTAAGGCCACTCATTGGACTGGATCCAAAGGAAAACATGCTGTGGCTTACATTTTATATTCATAGGGAGAGGAACTTGGCAAATCTCTGATTTGGAAATATTTGGATAGCTATATGAAGAGGGACAAACAGCAAGTTCTGGGAACAGACCACTGTGTTTGATTGATCGTCCTGAGATGTAGGATTAACGAGTTTTCTGCTTTAAAAATGTCATGATGTGATGGTACAGAAGGAAGAGGCTTTGTTTTGCTTATCTGTGTGATTCAAATGCAGTTTGGAGAAATTGTCTTTAAAAACACAATAGTGAAAAATGAGAATCACATATGAGCCCCATCCACTCTGTGTGTCTGTCTGTCTATCTATCTATCTATCTATCTGTCTATCTGTCTATCTCTGTCTCTCATTGATTATTTATAATATACTAACACACACACACACTAGGATCATTATGTGCATTTAGAAAATATTATTTGTAAAAGCAGGACTTCCTTTCATATATAGCAAAATGTAACTCTATTTGCGAGGCTATGGTAGTAACATGAGTCTGAGTTTGGTTTTGACAATCTGATGTGATCCCTAAAATGAAGAATTCTCTGCATAAGCAAATGGGGGGGGGGGGAATCACAAAAGATGTTAAATAAAATGCAGCCGTGATCAATAAAGGTTTATTGCTCAAAGCTATACCCCCCATCCCTGCCCCCTCCCCCCTCCTCTGTCTCAAGGGCTAATGCAGAATTTCAGGACTTACAAAGGGCTCTTTAACACCCGAGACAATGACCTTGAACCGAGCCTTTAGAATTTCATATCTTTGTTGTCTTTTAAATATGTGTCTGAATGTCCGACACTGGCCCCAGTTTAGGACAAGTCTTTGTGCTGACCAATGGGCACTACTGCGAATTCTCTGCTCAGAAAGGAATGTGGGAGAGAGTTTATAATGTGTAATCATGGGGAAAATACCGAAGATTTTTTTTAAAAACAAGCTAAACTACCTTTTAAGGAAATGCTATTTGAATTATTTTCCTTTTTTTCAGCAAAGCTGAACCTAAGAGAAATTGTTTCAAAAAAAGAAAAAAAAAAGAAACCTGACACGAACTTTCAAAAATAGCAAATGGTTTTTATTTTTTTAATGCAATCTTGTATCAATTAGTGATATATTTAATGTGTGGACTTGCATTGGGGAAATAAGTAAATAATATTTTCTTTTACAAAATTAAGTAACTCTGGAGCAATTATTAAGCTGAGTTATCTATATGAGAGAAACCACGTCAAATGCTTGTTAAATGCCCGGTGTGACGTGATTTGAACGGAAATTACACGAACATTTGTAACGCATACCGCTATGCCTGCGGTCCACTAAAACAACTCTGTGGCTTTGTTTTGTTCATACCTTCTATATGCGTCTCAAACCTGCATTATATTTATTGTGTTCATATTTGTGGTGTGTCTGTGATAAACATTTCTAAAAAAATGTTTTATTGTTTTGCGTGTGTTTAACTGTGAGTAATAGGATTATACATGTTTAATATATATATATATATTTTTTTTTTACAAGGCAAGTGATATACAAAGTTTAAAAATCAATTCACTTATATAATTCTGTTAGAAAATGCACACGTAATCATACGTACGAATGTTTAATGGATATATAAATATAAATATGTAATTTCATATATTTATATAAAAATATACACGCACATATTTTATATATCTTAAATAACAGTTTATATCTATCTAATCTATCGTATATTTGTGTGTGTATATATACACACGTACACACACAAACATGTGGATAGATAGATAGATAGATAGATAGATAGATAGATAGATAGATAGATAGATAGATAGATAGATTTTACACTAACAAATATTGGTTCTTTTTTAACAGCATTTTCGAAATATGAACAATCAGAATTTTTATGATTATTAACAACATTTCACAAATAAAAATTAAGCAAATTAAATGATTTAAAAAAAAAGCCCAGTTAGGGATACACACCAATAATTAAACATGATAATTCGTGTATAAATGAATAGACAATTAGTATACACTAAAGTGTCCCTGGAATAGGTCTGCAAATCAGTCTAAATATATTTTAATCTAGCCTTTGTTAACTGTTTAGGATCTTTTACACTAGAAAATCACTGATATCTTTTCTTACTCCTGTCTCTTTATGTATTCATGCTGATCATGTGTCACAATTGTATGTTCTCTGGTTTAATTTCTAGTAAAAACATACAATATTATACACGTTAAGCAGCAATCATGCATCCAGATAAAAAAAAAAGTGAAATGTGACTGATAGAAAGAGAGAGAGAGACAGGTGTGTTTTGTGAATACAGGTATGTGTATGTATATTTATAATACACATACATAGATACATACATTCATACGCACAAATACACAAGAATCTAATTATTTTCTAAGATACAAATAAAGGCTGATCATTAAATATAGGCAAAGAAATCTTAATACACATGTGAATTCGTGCACACCTGAAGAGAAGAAAACAAAGGAGAGAGAGATTAGTTTTATTGGTACCTATGAGACCATGTGTGTGATTGTGGGTAAATGTATTTGTCAATGTCAATATGTGTGTCAGAGTAATAATGTATCTTATTTCAGATTTTATCTTCACTTTCTTTTTTTCCCCTCTTCCTGAAGCCCAATAAACAATGTTATAGTCATAATATAAATAAAAACCAAAAAAAAAAAAAAATACAGATAATTAGCATTGCCTTCCTGTTATTGTCTTTATATTATTTCACAAATGAATACTTTTTTTTTTTTTTTATAATTACACATGGTTTGTGACAGTGGTTTTACTGTGAAACATTCCTTGTTTGTAGGATTATTATTATGCCGAGAAAGGGGAGTAAACATGTGGGAAGGTGCAATGAAGAAAACTTGATGTTTTGTTTTGTGTTCATCAGCCAAGAAGGGGCTGGACTTTCTGTGAGGACTCCAGTGAGCCGCCACGTGACGTCGCCCAGCCAATGAGAGCCATCTCTAGGTTTGACTATGTTTAATGTCAGATGGCAATAAAGTAGAAGCTCCTGGTCAGGCCCGCGGAAATGGGAGAGCATAATCTTCTTAATCCCGGGTTTGTGGGACCTCTGGTGAATATTCATACCGGGGACACTTTCTACTTCCCTAATTTCAGGACCTCGGGGGGGCAGTTACCTGGTTTGCCCTCCCTGTCTTACCCAAGGAGGGACAATGTGTGCTCTCTGCCCTGGGCATCCACAGAGCCATGCAATGCCTACTCTCAGCCCTATCTCGGTAGCCCAGTTTCCATTAACCCTTCCTTCGGCAGAGCCTGTGATCTGGCCCGGGTGGAGGAGACCAAATGTTACTACAGGGAGGCGTGCCCTGAGCCCCCCAGCCTGAAGAGAGAGGAGAGGGTGAGGGACAATGTTCTGATGCCCTTGGACAGCGGTCTCCCCAATGGAATGTCCAGCAACAGCTTCCACAAATACGATTACAATGTAGCAGACGCGGGCGCCCACGATCCACCATCCTGCCAGTCTCTAGAGTCAGACTCCAGCTCGTCGCTGATCAATGAAGGCACCAAGAATGCCACCAGTGAAGGTGGCACAATGGCTTCTCCGACCAACCAAGGCAGCAGCCTCCCTGCCAATGGTAAGGAGCTTCCTTATAAGAGCAGATTTAGGGATATTGTGAACCCAGGGCTTTGCTTTCATTTCTACAAAGCATGTCAATCCCTGGCTGCTTTGCTTAGGGCTTCCTTTGATTGCAGAGAGATTTTATTGGCATTTTGTATGGGATTACCACGTATGTAAGACCAAAAACCGCTAGGGGTAGCACTAAAATACCTTAAACGCTTTATTAGGTGATGCCTATTTTAAAAGAGACAAAAGGGGAGGGGGGTATGTGCATGTAAATATCCTATAAAATTGGGAATTGTTCTTAAGCCACCCTCACAACCTTCAGAGATGGTTGTTAAGGGAGACGATGTTTAATGAACAACAATCCCACAAAACTGTTTATTGCCTCCTAAGACATACCAAATGTGTAGTGAAAGCGCCTAATTTTAGACTGCATGTATATCATTTTCATTCTCTGTCATACAACGTGCTAATGAAAGGACAGGATAGGTAGACAGGCAGACAGGCATACAGGCAGATATTTTACACTAACAAATACAGATATATTTTATTTTTATTTTAAATAAGTTTATTTTATTTTTTTGCAAAAATAGTTAAGATGCGTTTATATCTTTAGCTTACCGATCCAACATGTCATAGTTAAAAAAAAATCTATCTTAAATATAAAGAAAATCATCTATCTATCTTTCAATATATCTATCTATTTAAATATCTATCATATATCGGTCTGTCTATTTCTCTCTCTGTCTGTCTGCCTGTCTTACTTTCTATCTATCTATCTACTTATCTATCTTCTGTCTGTCTGTCTGTCTGTCTTTATTTCTATCCATCTGTCTGTACGTCTGTTTGTCTGTCTGTCTATCTTTCACATAAATCCTTGTATATAGGGTTTTGAGGGATGATATTAATGCTAAATTCGACCAATCCACATCTGTGTTTCCCCATCGCTTCTGCTTAGGGGCTCCTTGGTACCCAATGCACACGAGGTCCCGCAAGAAGAGAAAACCCTATTCCAAACTACAGCTGGCTGAACTGGAAGGGGAGTTTATGGTTAATGAATTCATAACCAGACAACGGAGGAGGGAACTGTCTGATCGGCTGAGCCTCAGCGACCAACAAGTCAAGATCTGGTTCCAGAACCGGCGGATGAAGAAGAAGAGACTTCTCCTGAGAGAGCAAGCCCTGACATTCTTTTAACCCTGCCCTGCCTGTAGGGGGCGCTGGGAATAGCGGCCACCACAAGCTCGCTGAGAACTGTAGACTGACCAGGTTTGATAAAGTCTTTCATAATTTCTGTGTCACCAGCTCAAACACCGAATTCTGGAATGAGGGAGAATTCGGCAGCCAAATAAACTGAAGGGTTCTAGAATGCTGAGTGCAGTTTCGGATTACTGGACGCTTCTTAGCCAATCCTTGACATTCCTTCCCAAAGAATTGCGCCTCCCATGGCTTCTAGAAGGTTGTTTTTATTTCTTGGCCCTCCATTTGTTACGTCACATTTAGCTTTGGTCCTGTCAGTGTTCCCAGTGTTTGTCTCCCCTTATTGCGAGGCTATGAATTTCACCCTAAATGAACCATGTGCTGTACTTTTCAAAGGGGTGGGGAATCAACAGTGTGTCCAGTGAGTCCCATTAACTATCCTACTGGCCTGAGATACCCCCAAAATACAAACATGATTCATTAGCTTGGGGACTCTGCAGTGCAAGACCATAACTGAGTTCACCAGATTTATCAGGATGATTAATTCCTTCTTGAAAAAAAACTTTTTTTTAATTAAAGGGTCACTTTCACTTCTTCATAAATCCGGTGCAGTTGTTCTGCTCCAGAGCTTGTCATGGCTGTGCTATTTGCAGTATTAGAGGAATGTGCCTAGGGAAATGGCCTATATAGTATTAAATGAGGAAACTCGGTGGGGCTATGTTTTTTCATTGTTTCTATCATGTATGTGGATGGCAAAGTTACATATACGCACACTCCATGGGTGCCATTTAACCCAGATATACTAAAAGTATTTAATGATGTAACCACTTGTTAAAAAGCTAGTTTACAGCCTCACTGACAGAGGAATTGCCTCTATATCCAAAGACATTTCATTTCAGTTCTTTAAAACATTGATATATATATATGTATTTATATATATCCTAGAAATACATTTCATTTCTTTATATATAATGTATATACGTGTATATCATAGAACGACATATAAATACTTACACATCATGTTCATTTTGATGAAGGAAGTCCAAGTGAGGATAGACAAATTGGATTGCTGCACCACTTTCATTTAAATAAATGTTTATTATCAAGACCCTGAGTGCTCTGTATTTTAATTGTGTTTGTTTTTCCTCCAGGGGTTGGCCCATCTTTTTTCTTTAAATATAAATTATTGTAGCCATAATGGATTAATTATTATAAGGATTTAAATAAAATAAACTCACGCAAGAAAATAACATTAAATTAAAAAACAAATAAAAACTGTGAATCTCCTTGAAAATTAAAGTTCGGTTTAATCCATAAAATGATCGTTATGGTGGTATTAACATTAAATGACTTTTAATTGCTCGCTAGGAAAAGTAAGAATTCTTTGAAAACAAGGTCCTGGTGATTTTCATTGACACAATTAAGACACCAATTTAAATCCCCTTTAAATGTGATATGTAACCTCTCGGCTATACTCTGCCTGCCTTGGAGTATTAACATGCTGTAGGCTGCCTTTCTGTGTGTGAGGGGGAAATACCCATTAGCCAGAGTAATAACTGTCAGGTGTACGTATCATAAAATGTTTATTGAATTCCCTGGGCAAAGAAAAAATTTAAATTGTACGAAGGATGGCCGATTTCTTATTAATTCAGCATCTAAAATAAAATCAGACACAGAGTGCACTTAACAACCACACAAAAAAAATGTGTTATTATTTTTCTTTCATTTATAACATTTTTCTTATCTGTCTTACAAAGTGCTTAATAAAGTCTGTTTGATGTGACTAAATACAGAAAAAGGATAAAAAGATAGAGACAGCCAGACAGACAGATAGATAGATAGATAGATAGATAGATAGATACAGAGCATATTAAGAGAAAGAATGATAAGATCGTGGGCAAAGATAGCACTGTAGGGACCTTTTCTCCACTGCGAGCTTTGCTCCATTCGTTTAATTTCAAAGGGGATTAATTTTATTGCAAACCAGCAATTTCTAGGATGTTTAAATTACCACCACGTGCTTCTCTTTACGTTCATGGTCATGGCCGCCCAGTACTGGCTAAATAACTTCTTATTTATGATCTGTAAAGTAAAGAGTAGATCCCAAGAAAAAACTCATTGAATGGGGGCTGTTTTTCATCAACATTTAAGTTAGCCCACACGGCTAGATTTCTTTTTTCACTTAACATCAATAGCAGAGGAAAGGTACAATATTGATGGGGCACCAAGAAAAGACCACCTATGGAACCACAGCTGCTTAGTGGGGGGCTATGTTTCCCAGGAGTCTCAGCCAACCTATAGGATGGCTTAGCCACATGAGAGTTGCAGAATCCTGTAGCTCTTCTGCTACAAGTATCTAATCTCTGAATGTATGTGATCATCCTACCTATCCCTGTATTTTATGTTTGCATTACGATTCTATAAATTAAACATTTCCCATCATTTCTGACAAAGAATGGTAGACAAACAGACTCTGAGTACGAGGGATCTCGTATTGTTACTGGAAGTAACATGACTTCTGAAGAACAAAAAAACAAATTCAATGCAATATATCATCTTGACTGTTGGTCTTACTTGAGTGCAATATTCAATTTAACACTGTCTTGTGTGATCAATTTCAGCATGGAATGACATTTTTGAAATCAGTTAGTGTCTGAATTATGACAAAATCCTTTGTCTAGAGGACTCCCCACCAGTTTAGAAAATAAATTATGTTAATCCAAAAAACATGCAGTATTTTAAAGGGGTGTATATGCTTTGTTTATTCTTTGGGTTTTTTTTTTTTTTTAAATCCTTCTAATGAAGTCATATTTTAAATCTCAAATATCATTATATTGCAAACAAAAAGAATATATATTGTTTCTAATTGTTTTTAACATCCTGATGTGAATGTCAGGTCCATTGTGGTCGTCTTGACATATGCATTACATTTAGTATTTTAGTAAGGGTCTTAATATTATTGCCTACCTCATCTAACATGGTAGGGACAAGATTTTCATTGCACGTTTCATCTTTATATACATATGTAAATTGTTTTGTTTTTTTCGTAATAATAATCTCAAAAATGTACTTTATGTGGATTCAAACAATAAATGAATTTGTCAAATATAACGTGGTTGAATCTGACTGTTTATTTACTTATTTATTTGAACTTTTTTTTTTACATTCTATATTGTTACATGTTTAAAACTATCCTTAATAGGCCATTTCTTATTTAAAATAACATTTTAGCTGTTAATCAGCTCTTAGCCAGAAGGTTTTGCTTACTATAAGCAGACAGACTTTTCTCACAGCCAGAATAGGATTAATGACAAAACCATACAAGCTCAGATTGGTGTACATTTCAACTCCAGGTCTGTGCATAGACACCTCATTTAAATATATTGATTGGTTGTAGGTTTATAAGTCCAGCAAATGCTAGGTTTTCTTTTACAATTTCTTTTATAATATTATTAATACATTTAATGGCAAGAATGTGAACAAATAATAATAATATGAAAATACAAAGTAACGTTTCTACATATTTGATGTCTTTAATATAGATATAATATAATTTATAAAAATAATATTTTCTTGAAAAAAAAATGAAATATACTATTTTCTCATCGTTGGTTCATATTTTAGTAATACAGTTTCGAAATTTAAAAATTATATATATATATATATGCTAGATTGGGCAGAAATGATTTGTGATTTGATGAACAGAAGATATATCGCTGATGTATCGGTCCTTTTGTTAGTATCTCCGCATGGCTGGAGTCTTAGAGAGGTAGTCTGCACAATAAGTTCAGATGAGCTCCAAAGATCCATTGTCTGGATGTGAACGTTACAGCCCAGTTATAAAAAAGGGGGTCACCATTTTAGTGGAAAAACAGATTTCGCTAGAACTATGGGTTATTATTCTACAAGTTTAAGAATATGATTAATTCGCTTAGTATCCCCTACATGTAAAAATGAGAAGATTTTAGTAGCTTGAGGTTTCTTTCTCTAGATGTGTCTGTGTGGGTACCCTCATTTCTTTATTTTTTTAATTTTATTTTAATTTTTTACACCCTTGAAATAATTTGGCATTTGGAATTCAAAGTAATTGTAATTCAGAAAGTGATACAAACATAAATCAGTCTAGATACTTTGATTTGTCTTTAAACCCAGAACTCTTCTCTAATCCTGTGTCTTTCACTGTCTGGTTGGCCCCTCAAAATAGATTCAGCATTTTCAAATATTTAAATTTTGTTTTCTTAGTAATCCAGTATCAAGCTTGTGGGTTTGGTTATTATTACTTGTAAAAACATATGTAATGTATCAACGTGACATGATTAGTAATTCTGCACTTAATTATATCTTCTTTATCTATTTATTAAATTTCATTCTAATTGCAGAATCTTTCTCCTTGTTAAGATATTATTATTATTTCCCCAACATAAATTGACTTCACACATAGAATAAATAGTAACTGTGGATTTTTCGTGTTTCTATAATTTATTTGTTTTTGGTGCAAGAAACAGCCTTCAGTATGTTTCTTACTCTAATGAATTCATGATGCAAACAGAGAGAAAATAATGTTTTCTGAGACTCCGGCGCCCCCATATGATCTTCTACTAAAACAACCAAATTCCGAGATATATTTTTAATGGTTTTAGAAACACTCACCAGCGTTCACATATATAAGAAAAGTCCATTTAACAACGCATTGTAAAAATGTATTACCGAGCACTCACATTACACAATGGGTTAACATAATCACTGCTCACAGCTGCAAAGGAAATTATTGTGAGACTTTTTCATAAATGTGAAAATAACCAAATCAGGCGGTTCAGGTATTGCACACTGCCACACTAGGGATAAGTTTAACCCTTCCATTGACCGTTTGAAAGACAGCAAGGCCCATCTGTCACAGTCAGATTTAAGGCCAAAGTAGCTAAACCGAAAGCATAGCTGACTTAGAGAATTTCTCCAATTCGGCTATTTTGACCTTAAATAAGAAATTCACTTTGAATTCAATTTGCACCCTTTAGTGAATAAAACTGTAACTGTTAGCTTTAAGGTTACAGAGCTGTTCACTGGATTCTTTTTCAGTCTTGTTACTAGAAAACCACATCTTCCTGGAAATGGGCACATTAATGCAATAAATCGTTAAAAAGCAAGGGGTTTGCGGTCTAAAACGCCCTTTATGGCACCCGTAAAAGCATAGTCGCAGTTGTGATCACCAGTGAATGGTACGTACACTATTGGGACTAATATTGTAGCCAATAGTGTGTACAGGGCATCTGCTCTACAAAATCGATCGATAGATAGATAGATAGATAGATAGATAGATAGATAGATAGATAGATAGATAGATAGATAGATAGAATTAATTGATAGATAGATAGATAGAATAGATAGATAGATAGATAGATAGATAGATAGATAGATAGATAGATAGATAGATAGATAGATAGATAGATAGCTAGATAGCTAGATAGATAGATAGATAGAATGAATAGATAGAATGAATAGATAGACAGACAGACAGACAGACAGATTGACAGACATATAGATAGATAGACAGATAGATAAAAGATAGATAAAAGATAGATAGATAGATAGATAGATAGATAGATAGATAATAGATAGATAGACTGAGAGATAGATAGATAGATAGATAGATAGATAGATAGATAGATAGACTGAGAGATAGAAAGACAGAGAACGACAGATAGTGATATATACAGGGGCAAAAATAATAGTAATTTTAAAAAGCTACAAATAATTGACAGTTTGGAAAATGAATAACATTTTTTTTTAAAAATATTTGTTTATTTTGGCATGAGGTTTTCCCATCATAAAATTTTTATTTAATGCAACTACACGGGTCTCTCCCAGACAGACACACAGCTCATTAATGGGCCTGTCCCAGTTTGTGGCATTTAAAAAGACAAATGCCACCTGTGATATTATTTGGATACACCCAAACCTGCACCCAGTACTGTGGCTCATACTAACAGCTCTCTAATACTTTCGGCGAATGTTGATCGCAACAGTGATCTACATATGAAAGACTGGAGACAAAAATGTGAAAATCAGAAATGTGGTTTATTTACTAAAAGATTAATTGTGGTGTCTTGATGAGGATGGGAACAATATCAACTACCTTAACACAATAAACGATGTAAATAAATATAATGTAGTTAACTTTTTTTTTTTTTTTATTTAAAGCTCCAAACTTTGGTCTGTCTGTGTGTCTGTACTTAAAGACAGAATATACTAATAAATCCATTTGTCTGAATGATTTAGATGTATCTATACTTGGAACTAGGATTATTATATTATCATGTATTTATTTATTTATTTATACATCAGTTGTCCCTATAATCATTTAAGTCACATTTTTAATATTGAAGTTATTTATTTATTTATTGCATTTAATGTATGTGTTTCAGAATATTAGGGATATATTCACTAAAAAGCGAGTTCTGGTGCATTTGCTAAATTTAGGCCAATATATCCACCCTGTAAAAAATCATTCAATTGCAGTTTTTTTTCCCAAAACAGTTATATTTGTCTGGATTTTCGAATATAGTGAGCAAATTCTAGTTTTAATATAAGAGAAAATGTCTATTTTTCCATGATTCCCCATTCTTTCGCTGTATTTTTTATGTCATGTGAATACCCTGACCATTAGGGTTAAGTAACGGATTGACCACCATATACAGCACTTTGCTGGAGGGGGGGACTCCTAGTGGGTAAAATGAGTTTGCACATTCAAGCACTCTGTCTGCTTCTCAGCAGCCCTTATAACTAATGGTTCTTCACTTTATATTAAAGCATTCTGTGTTAAACCCGGTATGGTACATGTCAGAGCAGAACATACTGAGCACGCAGTGGGTTATCTGGAATAACAGCCCTTGGGTTTGGAGTAGGGACCAGAACTAGGAGCCAATAAATAATGTGAATATAAAACATTGCAATTTAGAATCCTAGCCTGGCTCTACCCTGCAGACACTGTCATACTCCAGCGAAATTCAGTTAATCTGGACTCTCTTTTACATATACCTATAAATGAATCCCGAGCGACTATTTTTCACAGGAGATATATGGAAGTCCCATATTAAGAGGGTAGACAGTTAAGATGTGAAGGATAAGGGGCTATATAAAGCCCCCCAGTCTCCCTGAGCCCTGCAGGCCACTAAATAGTGAGGATTGAAGGCTGAATGGAGTGTTGCTGAAGAATTGTTTATGCAATTTACTCTCTCCCCTGAATTTTATTGCAATAAATGATTGTAATCTTTCATATTAACAGTTTATTGGGTGTAAACTATGGCACAGCCACACTGCTGGTGTACATCTCCTTCCCAGACTGGGGCTAATCACTAAACACTGACATGGAGTGACTGGGCTACAAAGTTTACACCAAATTATCCGAATTGGGCAAAATAAAAAATCTTCCTGCTAAGATCTCTCTGTGTGTTAGAAGCCTTATTTTACAACTCTTTTATTGTGGCCTAAATGATGCAAGCCATATACTTAGCACAGCTCCCTGTTAGCGAATAGAGTTGCTAATGGTTTTATAAATTAATTGCTACTTTCCAAACCGACACCATGCGACCATCTATCACCATTCGGAATAAATGTGTGTGCATATGTGTCTAAATAAATAGAAATAGGCATGTACTCCTTTATATTCAGTAATATGGTGTTAATCTAATGTTTTATCTGTTGGTTGCTGAAGTTACGCAGCTGAATTCTCTGAAAAACAATTGCACTATCTACCGATCTATCTATCTATCTATCTATCTCTGTCTGTCTGTATTTGGCAATTACTGTTTGCTGACTTATATATGGATGTATAAATTAATATTTTAATACTTTTCTAACTGATATGTGGGTGTTTGCGTGTATTTACATAAATTTGAGGGCGAATTGTGCATGCATATGTTTGTGGTATATGTTTGGCTTTTATGATTGGTTGCGTTGCTTCTTTATAGTATCTACTTTTTCTTGTGAGAGATGGATTAAATAAAAGTACGTGTGTGTGTGTCTGTGTCTGAGTGTGTGTGAATGTGTATTTGTCTGTTTGAGAGTATGCGTGATACACTGTATGAGTGTATATTTTGTGTGTCTATGCATTTATTTTTGTTCGTGTATATGAATGAATGAAGGAATGCATTTACATATTTGTCTATGAATTAATATCTTGTTTGCATGTTCGCTTGCCGTTGTGTGTGTTTGCCTATGTGTAATGTTAATTGTTGTGTGAAGTCTGTAAATTATTACTTTCACGTGTATTACCATATATTTATACAGCATGCACCTATGCAAAATATATTAATAAGTCCTCCCTTTAATATTTTACAATCAGAATACATTTCGGGGGGAAAAAATATATTTGTGTTATTTAATCTGCTGTATTCAGTGTAACTATGCGTGTCGCTAATATAATATTGAATAATATTCATTGATTTGGCGAGTCTGATATTTATTAATTTATTAATTTACATTTATGATTATATAGTGAGTTATACTTTGTTTAAGCCGTGTTCGGTTACTGTGTGTACTGCATTAAGTAACATTTTAATCGATCCGGCGGTATTTGATTGTTAGTCCACCAAATGTATATCTATATATTTTTATTAGTGTCAAACTATTTTTTTTATTCAGCAAGTAAGAAATAGATAATTGTATGCGAGGAAGTGGTGCAATACAAAAAGAACAAAACAGACAATTAAGTAATGAACTAATTAACTTATCTATATAATATATCATGTGTGTATATATATATATATATATATATATATATATATATATATATATATTCTTATTTACTATCCTGGCAGAATGCATACTTACACATACATATATTTTAATGTAGAACCATATATTATTATGTACTTATATATAATCATTATATCTTATCATACATACACACATACATTGATACATACATATAATAATGTATGTAATAAATACAGGAGGACATACATGCATTCATTCATGCACACCAATATTTATGTGTGTAATGAATGTATAGAGACAGGATGAGGAAGAATAGAGAGTATTAATGCATATATAGTTTCCAATCTGAACTCATAGATGGAATGCTTTGACACACAGATACACACTGGTATGTTTGGCTGTATTTCTTTATGTACATTCTAATTTGTTCTGGATTTAGATTTTATTTGGTTCTGTTTTCCATTTTTAAGGGCTCTGTATGGTAAACTGAGTGCAGGGAATGTGTAACAGAAAGGTGCATTGTACAAAGGAAGCTGATCTCTTGGTGCAGACACATGAAATGATTGCTGGAAAGAAGGGATTATTGTTTTATTTTCCTTTATCCCCAGCTACAAATTCCACTCCCATTCTCCCCTCTGCAAAGCATTCCGGATGTAACAGATCCGCCCACCCCTTGCGATCTGGGATACATTAGCTCTCCTTGCTTGCCATTTCTCCCCTGTACTCCCCCATCCTTAAAGAATAGCCACCCCCTCCCTCTATTCCCCCAACTCTACAGACAACGACAAGGTTCTAACAACAAATACACAAACAAAACAAAACAGATTGTACAAGTGCATTGTATTAGCCCTTAACGAAAGATTTGGGAGTTTTGGTAAGCAGTGCCATAGTTAATCTTGTCAGCCTGCTGTCTACTTGTGTTTACAACTGTCTGTCTGGGTGGGTGGAGTTCCCTTGCAAAGTGAAGGTCAAGTTAACATCCTTCCTTATATGGCATTTGATGGTCTCCCATTTTCACCCCTTTGTCACAACAAGGCTAAAGGGGAATTGCTTTCTTAATGCTGATAAACAGTGTCATAGACATATGCTGCCTCAGCTCACGTTTGTGCACAATCAACCTTAAAGATGCCTTAACGTTATGGACAAGCAAATGGCTTTTGGGACGATGCCTTTCTTCCCCCTCTCCCTCTCTCTCTCTCTCTTGGATAGATCCAGCCTTCAAACGAGATTTTCTTTCAACAATCTGCAAACAACACGTCTGCTTTCCAGAGGATGTTAAAAAGAAAAAAAAAAGGCCCAGTTAGACAATGTCTCAACAGTTCAGTTTCCTTTTGCTGAAAACAATGCAGAGCAAATCGGTAAGAGAAAAGAAATGTATCCACAGATCTTCTATCTGAAACAAAGTTACATTTTGTGTGTCTCTTCAGGCCTTGGGTCCCATTTACAAGCAGACATATGGGTAATATTTTTTAGAAAATAGTACATATATCTGTGTAAAATTACTTTTGTTGTTGTTGTTGGTTAGAAAGTAAACGAGATTATTCCTACAGAATCCCCCCCCCCCTTCTTAATTGTTGAGGAAGTCAGTAATCCCCCACACAAGGCCTCGATGTGCTATTACAACCACTAAACCTGTGTGTAAAATCACGTGTGAAAACCAGGCCTGTTTGACAGGTGTTAGTAAATTTAGCGTGTATTGATTTATTTATTTTTTTCCTATATTTTTCTTTGAACTCTTGCAATAATTCATATAATTTTTTTTATTTTTTTTTTGGGGGGGGGGGGTTTGGTTTTTTTTCTGTGTGTGAACTATATGCTGTGTTATTTATTGATCTCTAATACCTATCACTGTACTTAAAGAAGTCTAAAAATTCCTTTTGCAACAATATGAACCAGTTTTCCTGTAGTTACATCATTATTAAATCGAGATACCCCTTAATAACTAGATTACATAGGATATGAAGCCCTCTTGCTAAATGGCTGGGTGACTAGCCTAAATAAATGCTCTGTCTTCTCGATTACACTTTATACTGGGGTGGTATTTTTTCCAAATGCCCCAGTCTTAAAAGGGAACCATTGTTACAATGAACTTGGTCTGTCTGCATCTTGAATGGCATAAATAGACCTGGCCAGAACACTCTCTAAAGCTGTACATAATCTATACAATCTGGACCGAATGTTTCGACTGTTACCAGATGTGCTCCTCGGCGTCTTACATTACATACATCTCTTGTTGTGTGTAATATTGTAATATCTCTTTGTGGGATTTAGTTCCCATCGTTGAAAGTTAAGGGAGTTGTGATTATTATTTATCTATAATTGCTCTGCTATGATGCTGTCTGTATAATGGTCTCAAAATCAGATTGTGGTGTAATATAGTTTATTTTATCAAAATGCATTGTGCGGTGCATTAAGAGCTGTGAATTACAATTACTATAGCTCTCAGACTGCCAGGAGATTAGAGATGCAAGTTGCAGACTATATATTCTGAATCTCATTAGTTATTTTTTCTATCTTTGTCTAAAGCTTGTCATTGATTTCTACCTATCTCTGGGACGCCACTCACTTTAGTAAATAAGATGTGTCGAATTTCACTGCAGCTGGAAGACCCTCTCTCTCCCCCACCCCAGTGGAGTGATGGCAGATGTTACTAGCACCCAATTGCGCATTTCTTAAATATTGTACACGTACACACCCCTGAAGAGCATCCAGTATTTGTATACTAGGGGTGTGTTCACTAAGCAGCAACTTGGAATACATTGACAACCGACTTGCAAGATTTACACTAAAAAAACACATAGGAATACATTTCATTTTGGCTAATTTAGGGTTTTGGCTTTCCCTCTTCTGTTATTTGGGATTCATTTTTTCAATTCGGTTCTAAGCCAATTCAGTGACTAGATCCCAAATGGTCTTTCTCAGTAAATTATAAACGCATTATTTTCATGTATACATTTTTGTTTCATACATTGTTTTAGTGTGAATGTATTTGTTTTAATTGCCTTAATTTTCTAAAGTCCAAGTTCTAGTGTAACTATACTGCATTAATACATACTCCTTCCTTCTACAATGACAACGAATATTTACAGGATCTGACAACTTGATACTAGTATCTTAATATATTGTTTTTTCTGCTGTTGTTGTGTTTAGTTGTATACGATCAATAATTGAGAGCGTTTTTCGTCGGTCCAATAAAATAATCTAGATTTCTAATGTTTTAGTGCAGTCCTTTCCAGTCTGTCTGTCTGTTTACGTATTACCTTTCTGTCTGTATGTCTATCTACCTACCTATCTATCTATAAAAAAACAACAACTCCCAGGCATTCAAAATAATTGTAGTATATGAATACATCATTATACACATATATATGTATACACTTAAAGACCAAAACACATACATTTACACATTTATTTTCTATATCATGCTAATACATATATTACATATCATATGTATAATGCCAAATACTAAGCAGGAATTTATCATTAGACATTTTTTTTATAAATATTACAAAATGACTTGCACTGTATTAACAGATCGAGTCAGGATGCAAACTGATAAACAGAATAGAGTATAATGTAAAATGTATATAATTGCTTAGATCTGTTAAAATAAATATACAATTATAACATGTTAATATTATTTTAGTGTTTTCTTTAATATTATGAAACCATGTGAATGTAAATGTGAATGTATGGACTAGAACGAACACACGAATTAACTAATATAGCGATGGCCTGATGCACATAACGACGTGAACACAGACATGCAGCAAGATAAGAAAGTCATAATTATTAATACATTTAAAATCTATTTGGGACGTTAGAGGGAAAGATGGTGGATGGATGGGTGAATGAGTAGGGGATTGGTTTATAGTTTGGTAGGTAGATTCAGACACAGAGTAACACACTCTTACACACAGACATCCGTCTACAAAAATACACGTCAGATATGTAACATGCATGAGTATGAAGCGATAAATGGCTAAATATGTGTTTAATATAAGTTAGGAAAACAGCTGTATCTATCTATCTATCTATTTATCTTCTATCTATCAGTTTGTTTGTTTGTTTGTCTGTCTGTCTGTATTTTTGTACACTATATATGTATTGCTTATGGAAACTGGCTCATTAGGCAAAGTTACTCATTTATGTGGTTATTTCATTTCATTTTTACAGATATGCACGTAGGTAGACAGACACACAGAAACACAGGAATAAATATATATATATATGTATATGTGTGTGTGTGTGTGTGTGTGTGTGTTGTGCGTATGTTTGTATGAATATATATATATAGAGTGAGAGAGAGTACGTCTAAAAAGAGAAAATAGACAGATACATAGGTAGGCAGTTAGACAGACAGACAAATAGATGGACAGACAGACAGACACAGACAGACACACACACAGACCGATAGATACATACATACATACATACATAGATAACTTGTGTATTTATGATGTTAGGTATTTCTCTGTATTGTGAGTGTGTGTACATTGTGTTTTTCTAACTGTCTGTCACACAGAGTATTAGGGTTAAGGTGTTGCGGAATACCTGGCGGGGTTGTTTAGTAATTAGATAACAATTCCGATGATTAGGGAGAATGATGCCTTTGCCTTCATTTCTGTATGAATCATACAGTTATTGACATTCCCACCCTGAATACAGTGTTTGCTCTGCGTGTGGCTGCGGACTCATCTTATCTGGTTTATCTTTATTGAGTCCACATGATTTTGAACTTGTACCTAAGGTCTGGAGAGAACCAATCCTTCAACTAGCCCAATGAATGCTTCACCGCTTCCACAGCCCTTTTAATAGCCTGGCCTAGATCCAATTAAACGGATCTCTGCCGTTTGGGGACTCTTAATATTTTTCATGCATTTCCCACTTGTGGCTATTTTTCTGCAATTCTGGTTTTTCTTAACACCCAAGCGGTATGTACTAATCTTTGTTTATGGCTGCGGGTTGGAGTTGTTTTTTATGTCCCCAAGACTCATGCCTAGGAAGTAATTACAGTCCTGGGCTAGTTGGGTGGAATGACTACTTAAAAGCATCTCACAGACAGAAGCCATAAAACCAAAGAATGCTGCAGACCCTGAGATTTTGGTTGGAACAAAATGGCAAATATTTAGAAACTGGTCTCATTCTTTGCCTGCAGTGGTCTGGTGTCTCCCATCGAAGTGCTTGTCCGGACACAGCAAGTTGTAACTGAAGTATGCAGCAATATAACAATATAACAGGGCACTGAGCACACTATCTGCTTCCTGTGATACATACTGACACACAAGCAGTGTTCACAATCCAACGCTTAGCTGTACTGGCAGAATAGAGAATTTCAGAGACACTATTAGCATCTTGTTCAAAATCTAATTAATTGGCTGCATGGCATGATCTCTCTGTTTCATTAGTCTGTATGTGACTACTATTTAATTTTTTACATACATTGCATCTGTAGAGCGAATAAGTAGAGAGGTGACACAATTAATTTTTTTTTTTTTTTTAAACATAACATTATATGTATATGTATATGTTATTCCAATAAAAAAGGTATCTTGCATACTACAGTACCCTAGTATTTTGACAGCTTATATATATATATATACACACACGCACACACACACACACAATCACACATTCTATATGTATGCTCAAATAATGAATACAACATAATTTCTCTCTGTCTTTCTGTGCAGCTATATCTGTATCTCAAATCAATCTAGCTGTTTATCTGTCTCACTAACTCCATTTATCCTTTCTGTCTGAGAGCCTCTCTGCCTCTCCTATCACAATTGTATTTATTTCACCTGTACCGCGAACAAATAACACAGTGAATTAACATGTGACTGTATCACCTAATATATTGGTTTATAAGACTGTGACAAAAAGTATCTCATACAAAAGTCTGATTTTCGCATAAAGTCGTGGCATTGATAAAATAAAATAGTACATGCAGATTCCTTTTCACCAACCCCTTCATTGTTTTTAGATGATTATATCTCCAGCCTTGTTTTATGTAGTTTTTTTGATTCCATCTATTTGTCAGAGCTTTGAACAAAAGATTCATTAACACGAACACTGTTAGAGATTGGAGATTAATTAACAGCTCAATCAGGAGTGGCAGAATTTCCTTAGAATAACATTCGCTTTCCACTCTAAATGTCTGTGTTCTGTATATGTAACTCACCACGTTTCAACTTAACACAATATTTTAGTGATCTGTTTTGTGTTTTTTGCAGAGGTTTTTTTTTTTTTTTTGGTCTCTCTGCACTTTTGTGTCGCCGTGTTCCTTCGTATTTGGGGGTTGGGTGCACCAAAAGAAAATCCCAGACTGCAGCTCTATTCAGCATTTTATGATGGCCAGGAAATTGACATTGGTCAAATTCAAGTGCTCTGGCCCCCCAGCTGTCTATGTGGCAAATGCTGCAATGAGCTTGCAAATCCTATACTTTTAACATGGGTTAAATCAAACCATAGGTCAAGCATAACTGATATGTTCTTATCCTGTGGGGTCTAGTTGTGAAAGTCTAATAGTGAAAAATATCAATAATTTAGACACTTGTTCTCTTACTTTACACTAGATATATTATACTATATATATACGTGTGTGTGTGTGTGTGTGAGTGTATGTGTATTTCTGTGTGTGATTGTGTGTGTGCTTGTGTTATCTATCTGTCTGTTAGTCTGTCTGTCTGCCTTTCCGCTGTCTGTCTGTCTGTCTAATCTATCTATCTATTTATCTAGCTATCTATCTTTCTTCATGTGCATATGTACATAAACCTGCATATATAGGTGTATATGTGTGCATGCGTGCTTCATGGGTGTGCAGTATATACATATATATTTGTGTGTGTTTCTATGTGTGTGGTGTTTATGTATGTCTATAAGCATTTCCTTTTCTTTATATGGGATATTGTATCTGTCTGTGTTGTAATGGATGGCGAACCGCGAGAAATAACGACTACCATAAACAATAGCTTAAGGTTATTAGTTTGTATCAGGTCTATCAAACGCCAAGCAAAAGAGCCAGTGACACTTTAATTAAAACTTGTAAGCTCCAGGCAACATTTCAGGTATAAAACAGGTAGATTGCAAAACAAAAATAAATATGTTACTCAGACACGTTCATGATTAGAACATAAGAAGATGGTTTAATTAGTTGCTTATAATTCTGACATGATTCATATTTTTACAATCCCTCGCTTTCTGCTCTATTTCATAAAAGATAAATTAATGGATGATACATTGATACCTTTAAAATAAGTCCTCATTAACACGATGTGTATGCAGATGCTTTCATTGTAGTCAATCAATTGTTTTGGGAGTTATTTTTTTTTTTACTTTTTGTTCTCTTTTATTTCATTTCCCCCCCCCCTTTTTTCATTGATCTGGTTTGAGGCTAATCTACTAAAATTAATAATGTATAATTTAACAGTGAATCGATCAGTTTCCTTCATTTCGAAATGAATGGACAGAATTAATTCAGATACAAAATATAAACAAACAACCTTTCTAGCTGTTAACGTATAATGTATATGTAAATGTTTATATTTAGTATATTTACGTAGTTGTTCTATATGTACATTTAAAAGTACACTTTGGGATCATATACCTCTTGTGATATATATAGCGTATAATATATATATATATATATATATATATATATATATATATATATATATACTGTATATTTAATTTATGTAACAGTATTTAAAATAAAAATGAATGGGTAGTGATTGTTATGGCCCGTAAGGAGACATCTATATAATTTGTTATTGTGTCTGATTTGTGTTAATATGTAGAATATTAAAAGATACAATGAATCAGCCAATAAAACAGTGTTATTAACTAAAGACAGTGTGTCCCTTGTTTCAAAACACATAAAGACTTGTGCATGTAAGTAGAAAGAAATAATAGCATTTGGGAATAATTTATTTTATTTAAATGATTCGAGAAATGTAAAATTGCACAGAACATTTAACCCTTTCTTCACAGGCCTGCGGAACAAAGCAAGTATATATACGAAATGTATGCTACAGGAAAAAATATATATATGCAAAAATGATTTTAAATTGAAGTCCAAATCACGTATTTCTTTTTTGTTTACGTGAATTAGCCTTTTCTGATGCAGTTTGACTTTGATCCTAAAAGGATGCATCTAAGTGTAAGACAATTGTATTTTTTTTTTAATATTTGCCACATTAAATCAGTATTGATCTGTTAAAGCTAATCTGGACCGTTCAATCTGAGCAGGGGCATTAAATGCGACATCCCCAGTGGTGTACATTAAAAAACAAATCCTGGCTAATTTTAATTAGGAAACTTTCACATTATAAGTGTAATATAATAAGGATCAAAGTTTTGCATTGTTGTACACTATATGTAAGAAACCTCATTGCAGGTAAGCTTTACATGTAGCATTTATTATTTTGTTAATGTGCAAGTGTGTATCTCTGCAGAAAGCACAGCTCTGCAAACTGTCTGAGTCCCAATCCTGTGATTTAAACATTACCTACAGGGTATTTCTGATATATTGGGATAAGGCTGGAGTAGTACTAATTCTTCTGGGTTTTAAACTGTTTGGAACCCGGATAGGAAGGTCAGCCTGTAGTTTCAAGCTATGTGTGTTCTGAACTTTGAAACATTGCCTTTTTGTCAAGTTAAAGTCTGGCTTATTTTAAGTTTCATACCTCCAAGGTGGTGATTTATACTGTGGCTGACATAAAAAGCATCTACAAGGAGGCAATTAGTTATTGGAAGAAGTCAGTTAATTGCTCTCATTCTGAAAGTAACCTCTTATATGTAGCATCAATAATATACAGATGTGTAGGGTCTGAGCTTTAAGCTGATTTTTACAAATGTTTCAGGACTTGCTGACCCCCCAAAATCTGTGTTGCCCCCAAGCAATTTCATTTGAACTCTCCAAAAAAAATGTTTTAAAAAGTTCATTGTGTCTCCCCCTCAAAGTTGAAGCATTAGGTGGGAAAATAAGAGTGGACCTTTTTTCTAGTGAGTGCAAATCCCCATGACAGAGGAACCAAATCTAGAAAGCAGAGACCAAATTGCAAACTTCAAAAGCACCCCCCCTCTCTTAACCCCCACCCCCCCCCCTCCCACCCCCCATTCTCCCTCACAACCACCCCTTGAAATGAGTCTTACACTGCTTTTCCTTCTCAATGCACACAAGGGGAGTTGCCTAAAAGAGAAAAAAAAAATTGAATACAAATCTGCAATTGATTTTCATAATGTTTCTGCGGTGTTTGAAAACCAATCGTTTTTGAACCTCTCTCAGATCTTACCTAAGTGAACCCTCCTACGCCTCTAAGTGCTCGGGACTGATATATGGCGATATCTAGCCCCGGCATCACGTGCTCCTGGGGAGAGACTAAGACGGACAGCGCGTCATCCAGCCATCCCAAAATTTTCCCCCTCTGCAGATCGCCTCCAAAACATCTATCTATAGAGCCAGAAAGGGAGAAAGATGTTTAACTCGGTGAACCTGAGCAACTTTTGTTCCCAGTCACGCAAAGAGAGGACTACCGAATTTGGAGACAGGACAGGCTGCACCTCCAACCTGTACCTCCCCAGCTGCACCTACTATGTACCCGAATTCTCCACCGTCTCCTCTTTTTTGCCCCAGGCCCCTTCTCGGCAGATCTCTTACCCTTATTCCACTAACCTTTCCCAACCAGTTCGGGAGGTATCTTATGGCTTAGACCCTTCCAGTAAATGGCATCCTAGAAGTAATTACGCCTCTTGCTACCCTGCAGCAGAGGATCTGATGCATAGAGAGTGCCTCCCTCCTTCTTCTAGCATGACCGAAATGCTAATGAAAAACGAAAGCGTGTACAGCCACCATCACCACCACCACCATCACCACCATCCCAGCGCTAACCACCCTTCCTCAGGATTCTATTCCAGCATGAGTAAGAACACAGTGTTGCCACAAGGATTCGATCGCTTCTTTGACAATGCATACTGTGGGGCAGACAACCCTACCGAAGACTGTGTGTCCAAGAGCGATGGCAAAGTGGACAGTGACCCCCAGGCTAGTGCTCTGTCAACCGGAGGGGACCAGGGTCTGGATCCGGAAGACGAGGAGGAAAACACTAACCCAGGATCATCAGCCTCGTCCACTTCGGTTAACAATAAGGATGCAAATAAAAGCAGCAATTCCAGTAGGTAGTGAGAGTGTGTGCAGTGTGTCTCCCAGGCAGCCAGGAGTGGGGAGGTGAAGGGGGCTAGCCCGGTGTTTTGTCGGTCACATTTTTATGTGGAGTTTTATAAGCATTCAAAGGATTTTATTAAACCTACAAAAGCTCTTTCTTCCAACGAGAGGGGGATTTTTACGATGGGAAAGCTCTTTGGGGGAGAGGAAAAAAAGGGAGAGAGACTAAGTGTGAGAGAATAGAATGAGAGTGAGTGAGAGACAACAGTCACAGGAGAAACAAACAAACAAGTAGATTTAAGGCATTTTTGGGGGGGTTGTGAGTTGGAGTGTGGGAAGTGGGCTGTTTGTGTGTGCTGCAGACTTAGAGGCAGATATTCACTTTGATCATGAACTTTCAGGGCATTTTAAAGGGTTTTGTTTGTGGGCTGTGGAGGTGAAAGGCAATTGGGCAGAACATAACCTTGGCTTCCTGAGTCTGGGATTCAGAGTCTCTTCCTGCTGTTTTCTGTATTAATAGCAATCCATGCAGGGTTGTGTTATATGATGCTATGGTGAGGATAATAATTCTGCAATAAAGCCCATGCACAATCCTACTATATGTGTATATTTACTCATTTTATGATTCTAAAGGCTGATATGCCTTATGTCTCCCTGTTTTCCTTTGTATGCATGCCTTTAATAAAATAGGACGTCATATGCATGGTCACTGGCTGGGTAGATATCCCTACATCCCAATATGCAGGACATATTACAGTATTTAATAAAATAAACAGGGTTTCATTTTCACTGACTAGATTGCATTCAGCTTATCCTGACAAAAGGGACAATGCTCTATAACTGCTTAATTTATACTCTGGGAAATCCAATACCTACAATAGCTAGTTGTATTATAGAAATGTGAATAGAAAGTTATATTTTACTTTTTTTTTTTACCGTTGTATATTATCTTACACTGTATTGTATATTTTTTTTCTGCAAGTGCACAGAGTCCTGTGTGGAATGTGTTCATACAGATATATACAATACAGACTGTGGTACAAAGATTTATATATATATTACATATTATATCAAACGTGCATATAGACAGACAGACAGACAGACAGATAGGTAGATAGGTAGCTAGGTAGAAAGATAAACACACACATACATACACACAATAAGTAACTTGTATGCACATCAGTATTCTTTAGTAAAATATATATTTTTGTTCATAGTAACATCATAATACTTGAATATATATATATGTGTGTGTGTGTGTGTGTGTGTATGTGTTCATATATAGAGACAATGATCGTGCATACTTATGTATACAACCACACACATATATTTATTCATATGTGTGTGTTCTGAGTGTCTTTCTAGTGCATTTGTGTTGCAATGTATTTATAATTATGTGTCTGTATTAGCACTATGTGTACCATTGTATTACTAATGGCAATATTAATAATTAAAATACCATTGTACATGTATTAAGCATATAACGTGAGCGCCTGAAATGGCATGACTGATGCTGCATGTTCCTTAATGTGTACTCCATGCTGTCACAGGGCATACTGATAACGTGATATCACTTTTGGGAAAGTTGTTGCAGTTTGTCACTATATCACCCTTGTTTTTATCATTTTGAAGGTGCCCCTCGTACAAGAAAGAAGAGGTGTCCCTATTCTAAATTCCAGATCCGAGAACTGGAGAGGGAGTTTTTCTTCAATGTGTATATTAATAAGGAGAAGAGGCTCCAGTTGTCTAGAATGCTGAATCTCACCGACCGCCAGGTTAAAATATGGTTTCAAAACAGAAGAATGAAAGAGAAAAAACTAAGCAGAGACCGACTGCAGTATTTTTCTGGGAATCCGTTGCTGTGAACATGTTGATGGTGTAAATTGAATGCACTGTACTGGTGAGGAGTGTTTGTCCTGCAGAGGATAGGAACATGGTTTACATTCTGAGTCCTCACTCAAGCTCAGAGTACCAGCCTCATTCTGTTACATATTACAAGGTAACAAAAGGAGGAGCACTTGGTAGGACTGAACAGCATTTAAGGACAGACATGAACTTCTTTTTTTATTTAATTAACTGCTGAAGAAATGGATTCTTCAATTTGCTAGATCATTCATTTCAAAAAGCCTAGAACTGTGAAAACATTATTATTCTTGCTATTGTTTTTAATAGACTATAAGGACGCGCCTATCACAATGAAGATAATGGCCAAAGTTTTTATGAATCCACGAACTGTGTTCTTATCTTATCGATATTTGTGAGTGTATGTGTGTGTATGTGTTAAGGGAGAGAGATATGTGTGCGTGTTTGTGTGTCTATGTGTGTCTGTACATGCATATCTAAAATACATTTTCTTAGTTATTTTTCCTGTTGTTTAACATGTCCCCATTTGGACCTATTTCCCTGCCTCAAAATGTGTTGTAATAATTGTTAGTGCGTTTTACATCAGAGACAAAACACAACTTGCGCTTTTCTCCATTTTTCTTGTTTAGATTAAACAAACAAACACATTAGACACCTTCAAGGTAGGTATGCAGATATATAACACACATATATATCCACATGCTACATGATACATACCTTGCAGTGTGTTTATTCAGCTAAAAAGAAAACACAAGCACGCGCACACACATATATTTACAAACACTCACATACACATATATGTGTGTTTGTATGTGTCTGTGTGAGTTTGTGTGTATGTGTATGTTTTGTAGAGACTTTGGATGTGTGGTAGCATTTCCACCATTTCCACCGCTGGTCCTTTCACAGTGTTATTTTTTTTTTTGTATTTTGTATTTGCCTATGATTAAATGCCCATAGGAGTCATAGTAAACATGTCTTCATGTACAGAAAAAAACATGGAAGGAAGTGACTCCTTGTTGGATATGTGCAATATTATACAGTTCTCATATTTTCACCAAATTGGTTTGGCCCAAAGAAATCAAATGTAACATGTCAGCATTTTCCAATTTTCAAACATCCTTTTTCATAGTATAAAAAAAAAAAACTAAAAATAAAAAGATGGTATTATTTTTAAACATAAGTAACAAAAAGTAACAATTTACTAAATCAACCTGGTTACAATTTTCTTTTAAATAGGGTCCGAATTGTGTTATATACATAAGCACAAATGTTTCATTGACAAGAAAAAAAACATACAAAATAAACACAAAAATCGGTGTCTACAAACAGATCGGGTTACTCACGAAAAAAAACTACAGTTTATCGGCAATGTTTCATGCATGTATCTTTCTGTATACAATAAATAAATGCCACCAATTTATTATAATTGTGATTACCATGGTTATTCTAAGACAGTATTTCAGACAAAGCTGTCCTTTGTTTTAGGAGTCTTTATAAAAGCTCTGCTAACAGTAACATAGGATCTCTTGTGTACTGTATATGTGGAAAGTCAAATTGTGCTATTTTATATGTGAATATATCTATGTATATATACATTCTGCAAAAAAGGAGAGATGCTCTCTGTGCTCCAAGGAATGTGGAAAATATACAAATGCAAAGCAGAAAATACACACGATTTCATCCAATAAAACAAGTTGTTAGATGACTAGGTCATTGTGAAAATGTACAAAATGATGTTATAGGGCCATGTTTCCCATAAAACAAATTGCAAATAAGTAAGGATTAAACAGCTGTTGCCAATGGTTTATTTGCTTACAGTGAGGATTAGTGAGGAGATGCATGGTTACAGTTTAACACTAAATAACATACTGCAGGCATTAGAACTTGCTGAAAGAAAAGTCAAAGAGGCGATAGAAAGGGCCTGGATACATTGTCACATGTCTACCTGGATTGGACACACAGTAATCTACAGTCTGTGTCACTGTTGATTTAACATTGAAAATAAAAAAAATCATTAAAAAAATAACCCACAAAATACAACGCAGGGAGAGTTACAAGTCACACACTTGTATTTATGTATTATATATGTTTGTGTGTGTGTAATATGTTAATATGTGTATGTGTGTATGTATATATATTCAACTCGTACATAGTATACATATATCAACCAATACACATTAAAGGTATATTTTTGTTTACATGGGATGAGTGCCAGAAACAGCTATTTTTGTGTGTGTGTGTGTATATACATATACACAAACACACATATATATATATATATATACACACACACACTCGTGTGGCTTTATATAATATATATATATATATATAATGTACGAGTAAAAAATACATATATATATTTATATATATATATATATATATATATATATATACAAGTTTGTGCGTGAGAGTCTACAAAATATCTAAGTATGTACAATTACATACACACACACACACAAATATACATACACACACACAAGATCCAGCGCACTCACTCATCCACTAAACAGCAACTTCAGAGCTCACAGATTTTATTAGTTAAAAAAAATAAAAAATAAACATTTAATGTAGGAAAAAATAATGGGGGTTTAGTTTCAGTATATGATCATACATTGCACAAGCCTGCCACAGACAGACACGCAGAGATAAACGTTTATAGTTTAAGTGTACGATATTTTGTTATCCCTATTGTCAAATCAAATAAACAGGGGGAAAAAAAACATGGATCGGTTTATCAGTATGATCTTATGGCCATAACCACCAAAATCCCACATACTGTACACACTCATGCATGCATACACACGTTAGTATTTTAGTAGTTATGTTAGTGTAGAATCAAATGTTAAAATATAGACAGTTGTATTTAAGAATGAGTTTATCTGTTTTTAGTTGATGGGGGTTTTATTTTGGTTGTTTTTTTTCTTTACCATAGGTATATAGATTTTTCTATTTTTGTTTTATCCTTTCACTCCATGGTCGTGAAGAAATAGGGGCATTTACACAAATTAGCTGTTGTATCCAGAGGTTAGAAAATAATAATTAAAAAAACAAGCTACAAAGTCCAAATGTAGAAGAAGTAATTCCCGGAACAGCTGAAGATGCTTTGACAAAAGAACCCAGTCTAGACAATGTCATAAAGGCTACAGCACTAAACTGCTTATTTTTGCTTAATTGCTCTGTGGGGCCTTAGGCGAAGGCTTCCGTTGTAAACAGTAAACAAATAGGAAAGTGTTTGTTGTAGAAAATGTGTGTGAGATCCGTCCAGTGGTATTTACTTATTTATGATATATTTTTTTCTCACGTCTTTCAGTGAAGTTGCTCACAAGGAATCTGTAGGCCTAGTTCAAAGTTTCCTTGATTTAAAATGGAATGCTAGCTGTAAAACCCAAGTTTATAGTCCACGTGGGAGTTTGCAACACAAGGCAATCGGCAGTGCCAAAGAGGAAAGGGATTTTACCCTTTCAAGGTTCAGCAAAATTGATCAACAACTCATTGATTCTCAATCGATGTATTAGCCCTACCAGCACTGAACGGGTTAATGCTGTTTGGTGGGGGAGCTCAGCCATAGAAAGGGGGGACCTCACGGGAAAAGCCGTTTTCGGTCCTTGATAAATTCTTCTTTTTTTAATGTTTGCAGTGGAGGGAATTCTAGAGACAAAGGAGTGGGGGCGGTTAAACATTAGGACAAAAAAAAAAAAAAAAACTTATGCAAAGCGTTTATTGCTGTTATTAAATTACTTAACAAATTCTAACATAACCCAACCTGGAAAATGAGATTATTACACGTCTTTGAACTTCAATAAAGTCAAGGCCATTACCCACTACTCTTTGTAATAAAGAAAAAATAGACTCGACCAGCAAGTATTGCACAGGAATATGGCATATTTTTGTTTAGAAAAAAATAATATTTATAACAGAGGAGATGATTACGTTAGTCGTTTTTACAGGTGCTTGGGTAACGTTTAATCTTGCTTTGCAATTTATATTTGTGGGATTTTTACTTAATCTTTTTATAATGTTAATGATTGAAAACACTGTGTTATAATAGTGCTGTTACCAAAATCGTTTAGCAAATTATAGCGTTTGTATTTTAGCGCACAAAGTTGATCCCAGCATGCATCACGGCAGCTATAATACACAAGTAAAAGAACAAAAAAAAAAAACACACACACACACACACACACTAAATATATTCCTGGGCAGGGTGGGGTAAAGGAGGACCGACCGAGCCTTAAATGCACTTAATAATATCCAAGCTAATTACATTAGACTTCCTCTGTGAAGTAGAAAACACCAAACACATAATCCAAAAGCTGTTTCCTATTCCTTGCCTGTGATCCTAACAACATATCGAATCCTGCTACAGATTTTTTGAATTTTTTTTTTTTTTGCACTTGTGAAAAGTTAGAAATAGTTTGGGAAAGCGAGTGACAGAGAACTCGTAAATGCTTATTTCCCGCACACATTGCTGAGTGTGACACACACAAACACACACACACACATATACACACACACAAGCAATGGGTAATAGATAATTCGTTATTGAAAGACTTTCTGCTTTTCCGAAAATAGCTTGCTGAGTAGAAGGAAGAAATAGACAAAGCTTTTAACATGCAGAAACAAAGACACACACACTCACACACACACACACACACACATATGCAGGCACACAGGCAGTGATGCATTCACTCACTCACTCATTACAGCTCAGGAGTTGAGATATAAACTTGGATCTGTCTTATCCATCCTGCAGCCTGGAGCAGGACTCGTCGGTAATTCTGGAATGGGGCAGACGGTGGCTGAGACTCCCTTGTGCTCTTGCAGGGTTTTTTTTTTTTTTTTGAAGGCAGGAGACCGGGATGGAATTTAGGATTTCGCATGCAAGAAGAAGACAGTGGCTTTGGCAAATGGACTTGAGGACGGCCATTAGGAAACTGTGATCTCTGCCTGAGGACCTTGTGCACATGGATGGAGGGGCTGAGACCCTGACTCTATGGTCTCCTGGGGAATCAGAACACAAAGGCTGCTACACGAATATTTGAAGGCAAATTTTTTCCAGTTTCAACCAATGCTATCTAGAACTATACTTTCTACAAACAATGGGAAGGCTCAGCTGAACGCTCCTGCAAGAACTTGATCTTTTTCTTAATGTGTGAACTTTATTTGTTTTTTTCCTCTATTAATGCTTCAAGTTGTTGTTGCTCTCTCTGTCTGTTGCAATGCTGCAATGCTTGTGATTTTATTGTTTAGCTGTATACCGTCGTATTTAAGGCTTTATATAGAAAGCACCCATGTCTATCCTGTAATTCGCCAATAGTAGGCACTCTGGGGCAAGAATCTTACTTATTTCCCTAATGTTCTCTCACAACTTGAACTTCTAAAAAAGGCTCTGGCCTCATAGATAACTTGATATATTTCACATTGAGAGAACTCACTATAGTTGTGCATGTCTGATAGATAGATAGATAGATAGATAGATAGATAGATAGATAGATAGATAGATAGATAAATGATAGATAGATAGATAGACAGATAGACAGATAGACAGATAAATGATAGATAGATAGATAGATAGATAGCTAGATAAAAGATAGATAGATAGATAGATAGCTAGATAAAAGATAGATAGATAGATAGATAGATAGATAGATAGATAAATACATTTATAAAGTATATGTCTGTCCGTCTGTCTGTGTATGTATGTATATATTTGCTTTTCTAGGACAATGAGCAGGCGAATCACAAAAGAATAATGATTAACACACATACTGCCGCAGTCACATATTCCAAAAAACACATTGTATGTATATATGTATATATTTATTTATCTCTCTATATGTGTGTGCGCGTATATATATACATATACAAACACACACAACATATACAAATAATATTTAAATATTATTTAAATATAGAAACATACCCATAACACAGTTTTTTTCAAAATAGCACACATATACTAACACATTTATAATTACACAGACTCTGCGTAATGTACACAGGACAATCTCTTTGTTTCAGCAGAGTTTCTCTGCATACATTGCACGACTCACTGTTCCTATTGTTCATTGTTTTTTAATTAAGCAGAGAACATTTTACTATTTTACTAAGCACACACACACATATAAAGTAAATAAAAAAATATATTTTTTTGTTTATCTCATCTCTCTCTCTATATATATATATAGAACAAAAGTGATGTGATCATGGTAAAATATATGTATACATATATGTAGTGGTCTCACCTACAATGAATTTTAAGCTTGATCACATCACAATATATATGTGCGTGTGTATATCAGTATTATTTACACATAATATATCTGTTTGTGTGTGTGTATGTGTTCGTCTTCCTGTTTGTATTTTGTATATTATTTATATACATATTTTTCTTTTATTTTCTCACAAGCAGGGAAAACATTAAACAGAAGCACCAGAAGCATTAAATGGAAGTACATGGGGATTCATTAATAAGCCGCCTAACCGTTACTTATCACCATTTAATTAAAAGATTTTTTTTTTTTCCAGTAGGTTTAGGATGTGCGTGCATTTTACGTGATTACAACACTAGTTACAGTAATATTGCTTTGCTTGCTGTTAAGTGGAATGTGACAATTAATCACATGATAGTTAGAAAAAATAAATAAATAAATACATTTCAATTACATTCTGTGTAGAATTTTCATTGAAACCTCAAAACAGAATTCGATGCATTATGAACCTGGACTCGCGGTTAATCTCTTTGTCATTGAACCTATTATCACGGCTACACATGAGTAATAATCTTACATGAGAGATAGATAGAGAGATAGATAGATGTTTATTTAAAAAAAGAAAAAAAAAGAAAAAGGCATTATATCTTAACATCCATTGTATGTTCAATCTATGTGAGGTAAAATAATTTGTAACTTTCTCTAACTTTTTTCTAAATTGTATCTATTTTTATTTTAATCTAAATTAAAACATTTTTTTTTAGAGATTCTGACCTGCACTTTTCATATGGGCGTAAAACAAAAGTGTTAAGAAAAGCAAAATTTAGAAAAATAAAAAGCAAAAAACTGAAAAAGCAATAAAAAAAAAAAGAATTTAACAGTTACACAGTGTCACATCAGTCCAATGTCATTGTTTCGTATTTTTCCAGTTCCTACATATTTTTCGGTGTTTGCTACAACTAATGAATTTTAATCTGCGGTGATTCAACTAAAATAATATTGCAGGGAAAGTAATAGCTACCCTGGTAGATGATGTCATTTTAATATCCTACATTTTCTCTAGGTGTTTTTTCTGCTCAATGTCCTACCTGTTCTGTAACAGTTGTTTGTCTAATTTATATACAGGCCTGCAAAACTTGCCTTTCGTGAACTCGCCCCACAACTTCTAATATTTAGGGGCCTATTTACTAAACAGTGAAGTCCGTTTACTGACTAATATTTCATTACATAGAGATATATGGTTAGTGGGACTTGCAGGACTAAACTACTGAACTGGTTATATTTAACTTGTAATATAAGGGGCATATTCACCAAGCAGTGGGTTAAAGTGGGTTGGAAAATAATTGACAGAATTTAGGCCAATTTAGGAGAACTAGGGAAATCTCCAGCTGTGATAGTTGGGAGATGTATTTTTTTTTATTCATTATTTAGCTTTTGTGTCCTAAATGTTCAAAAATCGGTTATCTAGACATCCCCAATTCAGTGACTAGTGAATATATCTACTGCATCCAATGTATTATGTAACAAATTACACTTTTTGGATAGGAACAGGACAGCAGACCCATTATATTGATAAATTAAAGGGAATACAAACGTCTGGATAGGAAACCTACTAATAAATATAGGAATGTAAGCTCACGTGACCAGGGGCCCTCTCGAGATCTTTGTCTTTACTCGTAGCAATTACTTGTTTGTTAGTTCATCAAATGTACAGCGCTACGGTATATATAATGTCACACACAAGCACACACAGATTTTATATATATTTATATATTATATATCTATATTATTCCTTTTATGCTATATATATTTTCACACACAGAACTATGTATATATGCATATACACACACACAAACACACAAACAAACACATACACACTATATATCAATATATATATATATATACATACTTTCATACACACAAACAAACACATGCACACTATATATAAATATATATATAAATACACACACACACACACACACACATACATTATATATATCTATATATCGATATATATACATATACATACACACAAACACACACACACTATATATATATATATATATATATATATATATACACACTGCATACACACATACAAACACACACACACTATACATATATATACACACACTGCATACACACATTATATATATATATATATATATATATATATATTTACACACACACACACTACACACACACACTATATATAGTGTATATATATATATATATATATATATATATATATATATACACACACACACATACACACTACACACACACACATCTATCTATATATTCATCTATTTATCTATCTACACACAAGCATTTTTATTACATGTACTTTTATATGTGTCTATTTCTATATATTAAACTGGATATGTGTCTGTATAAATTTTATGTGGTTTTATGTATATATATATATTCAATTATCTCAGTGAATGCCGGATGTATTGTGTTTCCAGTTTTATTATGAGTAACATTTCAATGTAACATGAGGTCACAGGCTACGTTTATATGACTGTATGTTTTTATTTTCTGGGTATTTTATGATGTCTCTCTCCTCCCCCTCTCTGCATTTACAGAATAAAAATAATGTAGATTGTGACCTCCAGCGGTGTGAATAAAGAAAATTTTCTTTTTTTTTTTCTTTGTATCAATTGGAACCTAATCCTCTGGTATAATTCTGAGATTTGAGTTACCAACAAAGTAAAAAAGCGGACAGTGTGCCTTTAATGTTTGATGGATTTGTAACGGGGATAGAATACAGTTTCTCCAGCAATATCTCATGAAATAGTTTTTGCAATATACAATGCATGGCATTGTTTTATTCACATTACCCTCGCATTGCTGATATGGGTTTACTGTGTACATTGCACTAAATCATAATTACTTCAACTGCATAGGGTGTCAGAAACGGGCCAGATATGTACCAGTGCCTCCATCTTGCAAGGCACTTTTTCTACACATACACAACCAAAACAGGATTTAATGAACATTTCTTGTAATGTTAGAACTAATAAGGTTTGTAGAATAAAATAACCACCCTACCATTGGGCTCCATTGCCTGCCATAGTATATTCGAAAATGGCTTCTATAATGAAGACTAATTTTTAGATAATTTGGCCAGAGCCGTTTCCAGACACATTTTTAAATCTGTGTATATGTAGACCTCGAAGACAAAGCACATAATGAAAACAATCAGTGCCAGGAAGCCTTTCTAAAGGCAGAAGCACAGGGTAGTATTGAACATGGGGTGGGTAAAGCGAAACTCCAAGTGCATTGTGGGGTCAAATTACCTTGTCTGCATCTGTTTGTTTCCTTTGGATCTATTAAACGAAGTCTTTTACTCAATCAATGAGCTTATTTTTTTAATTACAAACCTTCTAATGACCTACTAATGGCCAATGGCCAGTCTAAAAAAGATTAGCTTTGATATAGGGATACCTACATTATCCTGTGTTGTTTTTGTCCTGTTAAATGTGTTTTGTTGTTGTAGCTTTTATTTATCTAAGTAAAGCTTCTGCACATTCGTTTATTTCCCCCCGGGTTTTATGTCTTTTGTTAGTATTTATTTTCTGCAATTAGAGGAAAGCAGTTGTCCCAATGGGGGCCCTACTTATGTTGATGAATTTTATATCTTTCCTCTTTAATGGCCCATGTTTATCATAATTCTAATTATTTGTAACTTTAAACAATATCCGGTCTCCTGGAGACAATTCTTAAAGGTTTTTTTTCCACTTCCAAGTCCATAAAAAAAATAAAACACTGAAACAGTTGATTTTTGTGTGTGTTTATATATATAATTTAATAAACGTGCGTGTTCACTATCTATCTATTTATCTATCTATCTATTTATCCTATCACCTTTATGTCTATCCATCTGTCTGTCTGTCTTTCTACTGTACCTGCAAGCTATTGGTTAAAATACGCATACATCGTATTTTTAGTTCCTGGGGGAATTAAATAACATTTAGTTAATATACATTTAATTTTCACACAAAATTACAAACAGATCCCTTACAAGTTTTTTTTTCTTTGTTTTTATTTTTGTTTTTGTTTTGCTTTTTAGGAGTAAGATGAATCTGAATCTTTGTATGTTTTGTATTTTGTTTATTTATTTGAACCGATGATGTCATTCTGCTGTTAACACGTCTATTCTGTAAAAAAAAGTCTTTTTCTGTAAAAAAATCTGTAAAAAAACAAACACAGAGATAAAATTAGTTTAAAATAATGTGTTTTATGTTTTATTTCCTTCCTCTTAAACAACATCTGTGCATCAAGTAGTAATTAAAATATATTAACACCCCTGACATAAGTTCAAATGCATTTGCCACATGCAAAGCGCCCCCCAAAATAACCCAAATTATATTTTCAGGCAAAAACAGAAAACAAAAGAGTAACAGAGAGAATTGGCTGTAAGAACTGTAAATGACTGCATTGCTAAACATATAAAGAAAATGAATCCAAGGATAGTAATACAATAAAAAATATATATCATAGTCTTCCATTTCATCACCTATAAATTAAAAAATATTGGTACCCACACTAAATTTTTATCCCTAAGTTATAAATATGATGTGGAATTTTCTTTGGTTATCATAAAACCAAACGATTTCTTCCAGACAGTTTTAGAAAGACTATGCAAGTAACACAAATAGAGGGCCATAAAGTCTCAAATAGCTTTCTAGGGAAGCCAAATGGCGTCTGGAGGGAACTTTTTACTGTGTTCTATAGGTGAATGAACAACCCATATATAGTTTTAGGGTCTGGGCGAGCGGAAATCTGTCTGCATTTTTGAAAAGGGGATCGTGAACTACTCACTAAAGAACAATAAGGTAACACTGCACAACTTTAAACCACAGTGTTATGATTTAAAAAGAAAAAAAACACTATTTACTGTTACCTTTCTCTGCTTACTACACGTGACTTTATTCAGAAATATGGGGTCTTCTCAAAAACATTTCTTTATCTTATACCTTGCACCTTTATATTCTACATTTGTCAACTTGGCGTTGATAGAGGTACTGTGTCCTTGATACTGAAAATGGCAGTGTTTGGGTAACTGTTTGTCTTTTGTTTTTTTCTGTTGTCGTTGCTTTTTTAAAATGTATCAGTACTAAAATCACACGAATATATTGTTATAATTGACATTTGATTATATCACTTAAACACTTGGTTAGAATGTATGCAGTTTGTAAAGATATCTTTTCTGCAAATACATTTGTAAAATAATGCACATACAGTAATGAAAGGAGTACATAATAGCGCGATGTATACTTTGTAAGCCATATTATTATATGTTGCCATTATAAAGATGTTTCGAAATTACACTAAGAGAAAAATGAAACCATAGCTACATTTAAAAAATAGATAATATTTAAAGGGATTTCAATAGCCACTAATTATCAATGTTGATTTTAATTCTTTGTTACTGAAACCATATTTACCTGTCTGATATAAAGTTTTCAATATGGTGGGTATGCTTATTGTAAAAGCCTCATCTATATAACCCATATACTGCTTCTGTGTATATGTGTATACACACATATACAAACTGTATATATATATATATATATATATATATATATATATATATTCTTTCTTAGAATTCTTAGAATTCCATATTTAAATACACATAAAGCATTGTAGTATATTACTCTATTGAAACACACCACGAAATTAAGTATAACTCTATTCTTTTCTGCAATTAGTTGTTTTGCACACATAAACGTTTTACACATTAAGTTCTTAAAATATAGAACAAAACTTTACACAAATATCTTCGTTATGTCCTTTTTTAAGCCTATCATTTTCTTTGGATAAGTCACATACATAAAATGATACAGATCAAATGGATAAATGAGATACCTCACGAGATTATTATTATTGCTGATATACGTGATGTTAAATAGGTTTTTGTGTTCCTAGTTAAGGTTATTCTGTGCCTTACTGTACTCTGTTTAATATTGATCTCTGTACCTAGACGAAGGCAAGAACACAGAAAATGCTGATTTCTACACCCTCACAAACAAAACAACAAACCACATGGTTTGATGATCAAACTACACTTTAAACAGAATTCTATTTGCACAATAAAAATTAAGGAAAGGGATAGATCCCTTCAACACTCTAAAGTGAGGCACAATCAGAGACACAATAAACTTAATTCATTTTTTTTTGGCCATTTTCTCTCTCCCAATATTTTCCTAGAATAATATATTTTTTTTAAAATGTAAATGATCTCTAACTCCAATGCACTAATTATCCTCCCCCTCAGCGTGATTTTATTTGTATTTTAAAGCTTTTACCTCTTTCTATTGCCCCCATCCTCTCTCTCCCCCTGGTTCTTCGTTGGTTCATTTGGTAAACAAACTGAGCCGTTTCGCCTTTGTTTCAACTTGAAGGTTCCCCCTTGCCTCCATGCCGCGCGGTGGCAGATAGATGGCGCTGTTGCTCCACGCTGGTTTCCCTCTGTGCCGACAACTTGACCCCTGTGACGTCACCCGCGTCTGAATCACCAAGGCCATTTTCAATCCTCATTGGCCTGGCAGTCACGTGGTGGGGGCCAATGCGTGGATAATTATGGTGCTGATATTTTTCCCTAAAAAAAAAAGATGTCAGCCTCTGGCTGTAGTATTCCTCTTTAAAAAGCCTCTCTGAAAATGTCATGTCCCAGCAATGTGACTCCTAACTCGTTTTTGATGGACTCCTTGGCCGGTAGCTGCAGAGGAGAGAATTATTCCTCCAACCAAGGGATGTATATGCAGTCTGGGAACGATTTCAGCTGTGGGGTGATGAGAAACTGTGGGATTGTCCCTTCTCTCACCAAAAGGGATGAGGTGAACAACCCCAGCCTGTCTCTCAACACCTACCCATCCTACCTATCTCAACTGGACAATTGGTGTGAGCCCAAAAATACCTACAGGATTGAGCAACCTGTTGCAAGGCAGCTGTCTGCATGCTCCTTCCCAACAAATGTCAAGGAGGAAAATGTGTGCTGCATGTACAGTGCTGACAAAAGGGCTAAAAATGCCACAGAGACTGCTCTCTATCCAAACCAGATGCCTGAGACTCGCCCAAGTGACCATGAAGTTCCTGTGCCCAGCTACTACAGAGCTAGCCAAGGTTACCCTATGGAGAAAAGCCACAACCCAGGCGAGTTTGAGACAAGTTTTGAGAACAGGACGAATCTGAACCCAAGAAATGACATTCTGGATCAGCAGCAGCAGCAGCAGCAGCAACATCAGACAGGGGCCAAGGTGGGGTTCCCTGAAAATACAAAGACAGACAACCAGAACCTGGCTACCAACCTGAGTACCAACTCCAGTACTGCTGGGGCCAGCGAGATCAAGACAGAGAAGAGCCAGATTGCTGCTCCCAAATTACCAGCATCAGAGGGGGACAAGGAACTGGGGAAAAATACTGATAGCAGCACTGACAACTCTGACAACGAAGCAAAAGGTAAGGGACATTGTGCATGAGTCATGGGGTCTCGGGAGGCACTACTCGGGGGGAAAGGGTGCATGGTCAAACTTCAATAGCTAGCATTACATTGCGGTGTATTGAGACTCTGTGACAGCAAGGGCAGCGCACCCATTGTGAGATCTCCAGGGCAAAGTGCAAAGCTGACACTGTGCACTACTAAATATAATCTATCTATCTATTAAAAAATGCAACGCGTTGTATCTACTATGTATGTATTTAAATATAGTTATATTTATTTAAAATATACATGCATGAATACACACACACACATATATATACATTTATATTTTTTTTCTGCATACATATATTTATAACTGTAATTTATATATAATATTAAATTGTATGTGTTTAAACAAAATGTAAAAAAAATGTGTTTATATCTATAATATATTGGTTTCATATATATATATATATTGTATATATTTTAAACGCATGTGTGTTTGAACGTTATAAATATATGCATATAGGTAATTATGTGTATAGCAAGTGAAGGTATGTGTGTATGTCATTTATAATTGCATAATATAAAAAAAGATATTCAAATAATATGTGTTTATATTTGTTAATATGTGTGTATATGTATATATGTATTTATAGCCAATTCTGTAGCATTTTGCTTTGTTACAAGGTAGGGGCTGATTGTTCGATACAAGTTAAATACCGGTTTTTTGTTGTTGATCCAACTAATCGTTTGTTGTCTGCCAGCTGCAATTGGTTTAGTTGGACCTTGTTATTGGTATGAAGCTTTTGTTCCCATAAGCAGCTATTGTGCTGATAATAAACCAAAAAACGTGCGTCTGCAGACTTCTGTTGTGTTTTTGCTTTTTATTTTCAAGTGATAATTTTTTTGTTTGCTTGTTTTCTCTCTCTTTTTTATTTTTTATTTGTTGGGAATCATGTAAATGTATTTACAGCCGCTGGCTAGCTCTTCGTGCAAATGTATTATTGTTAATGTTTTAGTGTGTGTTTTGTGTTGTCTGCAGTTCTTAAGTGAGTTTGCAAGCTTTGGATATTGACTGAACTGCTAAAAGACCTATGTCCTTACAGTGCATGTTTATATATATATGTACATATCTATGTTTCCTCTTCGAAATCTATCTATCTATCTATCTATCTATCTATCTATCTATCCACACACATATAGTGAATTTTCTCCCACACACATGTAGTTGATACATTGTAATCTAAGCCTATTATATATAGAGATTTTTTTTTCGTTTCCAAATATCTTTTATATATACTTTTGTAGAAACTATTTTGTTAACATTAGACAGATTGTTAAAATGGAATACATTCAACATTTTAGTGTTTCAAAAAACATCCAGCTTTCTTTCTCTCCCTTTTCTCTCTTTTCTTTCTTAATTTCTTCCATCGTTTTAGAGGGGGGGCAGAGCGCAGTTGAATATTTAGTCCAACAATGAACTCTGTGCCTCTTCGTTAAATATACCTTATAATACTGCTGTTTTCGAGTCTTTATTAATATGTATTTACCTGTATAGACTGCAATCTTCTACTCAGACATTTCATAAAGCAATGTCAAGTTTAGGAAAACAAATTCATCAAATCCATTCCACCCCCATCCATCTTTTTCCAGATGTGCAAAGCAACACAAAGTAACACTTCCAATACAATTCATTTCTGTCTCTTTTTCCATTCTGAATACACACAGCATATACAACAAAGTACAACAAAGAGATAGTGCTGCTAATATCCCACTATTTGATTCTGTTAAATGTGGAATTCTGTGACTCTGTTTGTATTGCTTTCTATATGTAGTGTCTTTTCATTTATTGCTTGTGAACAGACACTATGAGGGTAGTAATGGTGCTAAGTGCTGAGTGCTCTTGTATTCTCATTGTTTACTCGAAGTTGCTGTAAATGTTTATTCCCGGATATAGCGCTATGTTATGTCCGGTGCAGTCTTGGTTTTATGTGTTTGTTACTAGAAACACGATTTCAAATAAAGTATATGGGACTTTGGTTCAAAGTGTTTTATTTGAGGTAGTTCTAAGAATGCCTTCAGTTCAGCGATTGTGGCACAGCGAATATAGGAAGCCGGGGGTTATTCACTAAACAGTGACATTTTTGGTACGTTTAAACCTAAATGTAAATGTAAGGCTAAACACAGTCAGACTGGTTACTATGGCTTAGATTTAGACCTTTTCCATTTTAGCCATGGTGACCTACATTTTGGAATTTCAATTTACCAAAATGAAGTGTTTTGTGAATAAACACAAGCTTATGTTAAATGTATATTTTAACACTGAACGATATAAGGCTCAGTCTGTTATAGGCTTTGTTGATTTGATCACTAGTTATTTTGAAGTGGCTCAAATGCAAGTGTTTATGTCACGTACAAATATATATATATATATTTAAATTAAATATATGTGAACGCACACACATTTATATTCAAATAATGCTCAACTGTGTAAGTGTCTGTCAATAGATAATAATAATACGAATAGTTGTTGTGTCATTATTATTATCATTATAATTATTATTATTATTATTATTTTACCAGCATATTCCACAGTAAATATCCAATGATTATATAAATAATGAGGTAACTGACAAACAAAATATTGTAGTACAGAGGGCCCTGCTTGAACTAGCTTATGTGTGTGTGTGTGTGTATATGTTACATATTTCTATGTTACATATTTATATGTTTTTGTATTTTATAAATGTTTGTATATGTATTCACTGTATGCAAATTAGTGTACTTTATTTTTGTACAGCTGTGTATGTGTTTAAATGAAAATACGTTTCTATGTATGTATGCATGCTGTATGTACACACAACCCAAACACAAGCTCTATAGTGTGAGGTATATTTAATATAAAGTCAGTTGTGTTAACTTCACATACAACTAGGAAACTTTGGGACAACGTAAGTGAGGTTATAAGAAATCATCCCCAGTATAAAACAGCTGGGTGTCATTTTTTTTCCCCCAACTCTCTTGGTTTGGGCAAAATGTTGCAGATTCTGAGCAGATTTTCTATTACTACATTTATTCATAGAGATTTATTCACTAAAAGGAGAAACATGGGAAAATAATCAAATTGAATTATTTTTCGACAGCACAGTAAAGCTGGACAAATCTACAATTCTACAATTCAGTTGATTTTTTTTAGTACAGGCATTTTAGGCATTTTGGGGTACATTTGGTAAAGTCTAATATCAAGTCACTCGGGCTCTCTGTCTAGACTTCTGTTTTCACAAGTTTAGTCACTAACGAATTGCAAAATTCAGATGTGAATCATAAAAAAAAAAATCAATTTCAGCTCAGATTAATATTTCTTTATTAAACCAAGTCAGTGGCCTCAACTGGCTGTATAAGACCATCAGCATTTACTTGTTAAACAATGAGGTGTATGTGCTTTGGCAACCGAATAGCACATAGGTGAGTTGTAAAACAAAATAAAACATTTCAGATTCTACAGGTTTGTTGTGTTTGTCTTTTGTTTGTTTGTTGTTGTTTTTTTTACCACTGGTTTGAGATACATTTTGCAAAGTCCCACAAGTTCCCATTGTCAGCTTTTTGGACAGATAATTAGTAAATAGCAAGTTGCATGTCACTGGACTGCCAAGGTGGAAAACAAAACTATCTAGCTCTGATGCATTGGATTTATTGAATATTTTCCAATGCTGACATTGAGATATTAATTTAAAACACGCTTCTCAAACCCATACAAGTCACAGTTAATTGAATGGATACCAACATAGTTCAGATTCGCACGTGTTCATATACATTTATAGAAACATACACTGCTGTCTGTGCGTCCGTCTATCTATCTATCTATCTATCTATCTATCTATCTATCTATCTGTTTGTCTGTCTATCTGTCTGTCTATCTATATCTACCTATCTATCTACCTATCTACCAGTCTGTCTGTCTGTCTATCTATCTATCTATCTATGTACCTATCTACCAGTCTGTCTATCTATCTATCTATCTATCTATCTATCTATCTATCTATCTATCTATCTATCTATCTATCTATGTACCTATCTACCAGTCTGTCTGTCTGTCTATCTATCTATCTACCTATCTACCAGTCTGTCTGTCTGTCTATCTATCTATCTGTCTGTCTGTCTGTCTATCTATCTATCTACCAGTCTGTCTATTTATCTATCCATCTATATCACACAAACACACACCTAGATTAGACACTATTATTATTCATTAAAGTGTGAATTCGAAGTGAATTTAAAATTAAAGGTCAAAATAGCCCAACTGAAAAAAAATATCTAAGGCAACTCTGCTCTCCTTTTAGCTACCCTGGCCTTAAATTGGAAATACACTTTGAATTCTCTCTTTAGTAAATAGCCCTTTAAATTTATGTGCATAACTACTGTGAGACTCTGTCTATGAGTGTGATAAATGTATGTGATATTTACGTCCCATTTATGCGTGATAAATATATGTATGCATTTGTGTGTCATGATTATATATACATAGTATGTGAAGAATGAGTGTTTATGTGTGCATGTATAACTAATAATATATCTGTGTATGCCCATTGTACACGTGGTGTGTGCGTGTATGTGTGTGATTGTGTATTATTTTGTCTTATTTTTTTTAGGTATATATTGTATTTTATATTTATTTGTGTATGTGTGTGATTGTGTATTATTTTATCTTTTTTTTTTGGTATATTTTGTATTTTATATTTGTGTGTGTATGTGTATGTCTGTGTATGAGTGTGTCTGTGAGATCGTGAGAGGTACATTAGAATGTGTTTTCCTTGTGCAGTGTAGTCATTGATCCCAGGATTATGAAGTAAGGCTACTCTTTGTTGCTGAAATCCGTGCATAATTTTGTAGGAATATCTCATCAGACATGTGTGACACAAATCCAATCCCATACAGTGGCCAGGATTTGATGTGAGCAAGATATCTGTTACTGGAATTATGTATGTCAAGTTGAAAGCTTTGAGCCTGTGCCCTGGTTCCCCTGCATGTATTACACACTATGCGGCAGAAATGTATTAAACGATACAATATTGCAGATATTCATTATCTCATACTAGTTCTATTGGTGCTGCTACAAAGTTTCTAGCAAATGACACTTTGCCTATTAGGTGAACGTGTAAGGGTTAGACGTTCAAATAGAAACTGAGATAGGTTATTTTTAGCAGTGTGATTTTCAGAATTATTTCCAGGGGTACTTATATTTAAATATTATTTTTAACAGAGGATATAAAGGCAGAAAACGCTACAGGAAATTGGCTGACTGCTAAGAGCGGAAGAAAGAAGAGATGTCCTTACACTAAGCATCAGACCTTGGAATTGGAGAAGGAGTTCTTGTTTAATATGTACTTGACCCGCGAGCGCCGCCTAGAGATTAGTAAGAGTATCAACTTAACAGACAGACAAGTGAAAATCTGGTTTCAAAACCGCAGGATGAAACTGAAGAAAATGAACAGGGAGAACCGAATTCGAGAACTGACATCCAATTTTAATTTTACTTGAGGTCCTTAACAAAAAAAATTAAATATATATATATCCAAAAAAAAAAAAAAAAGATCAACACAGCAAAACAGCCACCCCCCCCCCCCCCAAAAAAACAAAAAAAAACAAGAGAAGAGAAGCAGTAAATCATGAAAAAAAAAAGTTAAAACTTGTACATTTTTTAGGTCATTTATTCAGTGCATATCCAAAACAACTTGGAAGTACCTAAGGGTAGGCAGCCTTGCTCCCATTTTCAGTATTAACAATTTGTAGATAAAGAAATATGCAAAAAGTACCATGCATGGGAATATATATATTGCACCCCTGTTTCTATGTATAAATGGTCAGTGAGCCAGCTACTGAATTGCTATTTCTAAGTTATTTACGCCCAGCACAAACGAAGAGACCTGATTTTTTTTTTTTTTATTACCTTCCTCTGGGCAAATTATGCTTTAGGGAAATCTTATGTTTAAAGGTTGCTTTCTGACATTGGTGTAACTTGTATATTGTATCTTGAAACAGAATGGCAAACGGATTTTAAATGTTTATACATGAACATTTGCAGTGACACTATGGACATTCTATATAAATATTATATATTATATATCTTATGCAGTTTCGATAAATGATCCACTGCATATTTAATTGAGGGAGAAGAAGCGAAAACAAAAAACACACAGTATTGAAAATCCCTTAAAAAAAATACATTTCCTGTGTCTGTTATTTAAATACACTCTGTATGTGTAATTCTTGTGCATGTATTTTAACCCTTTGTGGAGAAAAAAAAAAGAAATAAATTTCCTAGAACCGTGCTTAGTTGGTTGAAGTTGTGAATTCACTGTATATTAATGGGAGTCTGCTCCAGACAGGGAAACTCTCAATGTTTTCTTATAAATACTGTTCGAGTTTAATCCTCTTAAGGCTTTTAGGAGACTATCTTAGAGGGTTTAATAAGTGAGAGACCGTAACGTTGATTTAAATATTATCCAGGTGACCACAATAAGTCAAGGTCATAAAACAGTAATGTCAGGACAGTCTTGGTAAACGATGGAGGTGGATTTTATGATCTGCAAATATAATGTGCTGCAGCAGTAAAGACCCATTTATAGGTGACTTCAGCAGAGGGAAGGCACTCAGAGTCTGAGCTGCAATCTTTGGATACACACTTCGTATGGCGTTTGGGTTTTCTTTTTAAAAAGGAACAAGCAATTGAACATGCAATGGAATAAGTCACTGCCCCATACTGCTCTACGGAATAAACCCTAAACAATAGCAGATGGGAGAAATTGACATCTCAAGCACACAAAGGTAAGACAGCATGCGATCCCTTTATCTGTCTCAATCAGACCATCCTAATGTATTTATAAAGTATTTATTATTATTATGACTGTTTTTGTTCTGTTTTCTTGCCAAGCTGTATCTGGGAACAGAAAGTGCATGTGGCTTTGGGGGTACAGATTGTGAGATGTTGGATTTGGACTGTGGTTTTGAGGGATTGTCTGTGGCTGTTTTTTGGACTTTTCCAGAGGTTTTATATTGTGTTGTGTTTTGCTTCATTTATTTCAGCTTGTGCCAAAAAGAGATTGGGACAGTGCTAGTGTCGCTAGCCAAATAAACTATTGCGGATTGTGGTCACTTGGGTATGGAGGGCTGGTTTGACTGCATAAGGAGAGAAATGCGAATTTCAGTTCATTTTGAGATTATTATTATTATTATTTTTAAATCTAATTATTATTATTTTTTTTTAATTCTAAGACACCTTGTGTGGTCGATCATATCCCTTATACTGTAAGCAATGAATGCATTCTTTTCTTGTAAAAGCTATTAGCTCGGAAGCTTGAGCTCATCACACTAATTATAGGTTAAATGCATTTCACATGCAGTTTCCCCCCAGCCTCATGTCATTGCAGGGAGACGGTTTGAATCTCTCTAGCCCTCCAGCTTATGAGAAGAGTTTAATATCTGAGCATTGGAGGGAGGGGGGGAATAAGCACATCCCTTCTCCTTATTAAGGGTTTGTAAATAAAAGAGATGAAAATCTTTAAGTGATTGGGAGGCGTTTTCCTCGAGTCTCCCAGAATCAGAGAGTGGAGAGCTGCCAGTATTCTGTTCCTCTGTGGAATGGGACCTGTGCTAAGATTCCATTGCCTGTCAGAGCCGGATAGACAGATACATTGTAGCATTTTACCCTCTCCTGTCCGATTCTGTGTCCCCTCTTCTCTCTAACACTGAATTGAGGATGTTGCGTCTTTCCATTCAGCTGATCCGTGGTTTAGGTAGTTTCATGTTGTTGGGGATTGGCTTTTTAACGCGGCAACAAGAAACTGCCTTAATTACGTCAGTTCGTCTTCATCAAGAGCAACGATTTCCGTTAAACACAGCAGGCTGTGCGAGTGACATGCTTCCTAACAGGGCACATTGTGCCATACACGATCTGCCTCTCAGGGCACTAGTACCCAGGGAATGGAGCCAAGGGCACTGGCTGGACCTGGCTCCCATGGCATAGGCAGGATCCTGGGGTAAACCCTGATATTTCTCCCCTCTGGTCTCTCTGGTAGAACGGTTCTCTCCTCCAACAGAGAGGCCAGACAAAGAAATATCGTTAGATTATTTAAAAAAAATACTATTAGATTATTTAGGGACAGGCTCCAAAAGGACTCTAATAATCCCTAGAAAAAAGGAAAAGGGGTACATAACAAGGCAATGGCTGTGATATGATTCTGGCTGTGATTTAATTGACTTGTTTAAGGAATTGGTTCTATGTCGAGAAGGCACAAACAGTGTTAGTCTGTGTATGCTGTTACAGGATGTATTGATTGTATGAAAGCATCTTCACTGAGGGAATACAGTGCTTTAATACTCATTACAAAGCATACACTATATGCACATACACACTGTATGAGACCATACACAAACACACACACACACGTATAACATATGGCTATACATATATATAATGTTTAAGCTTAATAACTTTAAAAGGAAAGCATACAGAAACACATACATATATCCCATATATATTATAGTATATTATATAATAAATATATTACATATATAAATACATATAATACATATATATAAATACATATAGAAGACAAGACTATCTATTTAATTATTAATCTGCCACGGTATATATGAAATTAAAAAATCACTGTTATGCATCACCTGCATGCCTCCAGCTGGACATAGGACAGTCCACCCTGGGCAAGGAAAATATAAAATAAATAAAGAAAATGAATTAATTGTATATATATCAATAACATTTCAAGTACACACACACGCACACACATACACACATATATGTATATATATTTTTTCAAGGTTATTAATTAAAAAGTAGACGTATCAAAGTACACAATATAAATATTACTGTATACAATATTCTGTGTGATGAAAAAGATCAATAATGTTCTTAGAACCTTGCCTTTCTAAATCTATACACTTTATGTGCAAACACCAAAGTCATTTTATGGCTACCCCTGTAGCACCATGCTGAGTTACTTGTACTTACATAAAACATTTACTTTACTATTTACAAATGATACAACATACACACACACACACACACACACGTATATATAAATATATATAAGTGTGTTTGTGTGTAACAGATAGACACAACAATACACATTTTCGCAATATTTGATGTTATAACACTATGTAGCCAGTTAGCTATGTGACTAGCTTTCTATATATCTATAAGATAGATAGATAGAGAGATACATAGATAGATACATAGATATATAGGTAGATAAACACATGCATTCAAAAACATACATCTCGTGAGAGCTTCGTGGACAAATACTATAAATGCAGTAGGTGAATTTAAATTCAATTACTACACACAGACAGCTTATATTACTAAATATACATAATACCATAGGACACAAAGACAACCCCAGCTCTGTTTGCGGGGATTTTCACGTATTCCTTAGTGATGGTTTAATTACCACTAGTTTTGTCTCCTGTGCTTTCTTTTTGAGGTAGAGGTTTTCCATAATTTGGTTGGAACGAATTAAATCCATTCTATTCTTCTCTGATCATCAACACATGTTATAATATACCTGCACAGCCTGTCCATTAGTTAATACAGAAATGTAGCGTTTTAAATACCACAACGCCTTTTGTTAGATTCTATATTTTTATTTGTTACACTGTTATTAAAATGTAAATCGTACAACGTTCATTGTCTGATTCCTCACAGGTTCTAAATTGAACTTGTCTTACGTCTTAGATCGTGTCTTGCCTGTAACATGCGCTTCCTCATAGTTCTTTTTGTCTCTTAAATATTGTATGACGTAATAAAACGACTGTGTGAGCATTCTATAGAATTCTAGACGTTTCATTCCGGCATTCTATGTATATTTCGTTGCGGTTTCATGGAAGGAGATAATTGCAAGGAGAATATTTTGAATTGTTTTGATATTTCTTCATTGGTTTGGCTGTTCTTCATATTACAGTGTGAAAACGTGTGAAAGGTCTTAAGGCCTGGCCTACAAGAAAAGTAATTAGCATTCTTCTTAGTTCGCAAAAATACCTCCTTAGGCATGTTGAGTGCCGCTTTGTCTGACTTGAGAAATTCATTGAATTATTCTCGACATGAAAATAAAGTTGTTATTCAATGTAAAGTTGTGATTGTATCCAATAGTGAGATCATCTGAGGTTTGTCTTGAATTCCTTTTTTCCACATCCTTGGTCCTGTTAATAAAATCCAATCAGGGAAGATTTCTGTATTTTTAATTTGTTTGAATGACACTGTTCTGCTGTCCTGCAATACAAAAATCATATAAAAAAAATATAAACCCATTTATAGATT